TTTATCAGAGCCCAGAGAAACCAGAGAGACTTATAAGATCAGAGAACCAGAGAGAATTGATAACAGATTTCACAGAGAAACCCTACAGAAACCCTTATTACTCAGAACACTCCATGAAAGCTCCTTACCTCCTCGATCAGGTATTCTTAAGCAACAACAACAGTAGTATCAACACTAAGGATAAATTTAGAAATAAGTCACACTCTTATTTTTCTTAGTGTAACTTTCCCGCAAGCTAGACAGGAGGGCAGTCTCACCCACACACCAATACTAATTCTACTATTTCATAGTCTTATTAGCTATTTTATCCCCTCTAAGCTCTTTACTCACTTGCTGAGCAGTTCCACACCGGCCTCCGCCACTCTTCGTTCCCGGCCTGCCCTCCGATTCGTCGGTGTTTCGCCGGACGAGCCGCAGCCGCTGCCGCTGTCGTTGCTCTTTATAAATGCCCAAATTTTTTTCTTTTAACCAAAAAAATGCCTTTTAAAATGATCCCACAGATACCGGATCGGTATCGGATCGGTATCGCGATGCGATACCGATCCCTAACCCTGCGATACTGCCTGCTGCGATCCGATACTCTGGGTATCGGATCGGGTGGGCGATCCAATACCCCTTTTTTCGATACCTGGTAACGAAAAATCGATCCGATCCGATAAATTGGCCGATACCGTATCGGATCGGATCTGTTACATCATTGATACTCGGCACTGTATAACTCAATCACAGATTGACAGAATTTGTAGAGGCTCTTTGAAGCGGTGGATTCTCCTATACAGATATATTTGTTGGTTGCATGGTGTGATCCGCCATATGCCAAGATCCGGAGAGAGGCAGTGATCTTTTGAATTCCTCTCAAGCATAGATTACCCAACGTGTTGGCCTTGTGAGCAAAGTACATATCATGCTGTTTGATATCTTTAACAATCTTCAAAAAGAGACCTCGTTGCATCCAGAACCGTCGGCAAAATTGATAGTCAGTGTAGATGGGTGAATCGTCAAAGTAATCTTTATACAATCACTGGTAGCCGCCTTCAAAGTCCCGACACAGATTAGGTGCTCTTCCTTTTCTTGATCCACCTCGCTTTGGTGGTTTTCTTTGTCGTCTTTTCTGTTCTTGTTGGAGGATTTCTTGAGCCACTGCAGCTCCACCTTGAAGAACAGCCAATATATTTTGTGTTGACTGAACTGAGGTAGATATGATTGAGTTTTGAGTGATGACAAAATTCAAAATAATTGCCAGACAATCCATATGGCACAAAATACATAGTATTTAGGAATGGCGGTCTTAGAACAGAACATGGCCAGACCCCCAATTGTCAGCACCGGTCTCTTGTGTGACCTGGCGTTGATGGGGTAATGGGTCTTACTATAGCCTGTAAAGGCCAGTAGAAATGAAACCTCACCTTGAAGCTAGGAAGCGGCGGGGTTAGCTCCCTGGGTTAGAGGGGACGACAGCGGAATGAGCATCACTGCTCCTGAGCTCAGAGTGGTACAATGACTCTCTTCTAGACTACAGTAGTGAATTAACTGCAGTCTAGGATAGTAGAATAATGATCAAGATAAAAGGTAAAGAGAAATGGGAGAGTGTACTGCTAAAACCCCACTCACTAATTTTAAGTAAGGTAAACAGGTTTGTTTGGCAATAATCTCTGGGGGAAGGAATCCTAGAGGGAAAGCCTTCCCCTTAAGTATTGCAAGGCAGGGTTCAGGCTGCCTGTTGGACCGGACAGGTCCACAGATGATCATTTATGTATTTAAATCATAAATGATCAAAATATGTATTTAAATTATGATCACACCAAAAGTGGAGGAAATGACATCATCTCTCTCTCTGGGTGAATCAATACAGAGAGAGATAAATGATTAATACTCATTGGTAATCATCTCTCTCATTACAGCAGATAATCAAGAGAGAGATGACTAAGCTTTTAATACATATGTATAATATTTATTTATTACATAAGTATAGAATAAGATACCAAGGACACTGGGACTTGGTACATCCATCAAGATATACCTCATCCTTTGAAGTGGTCATCAAACCACTAAACTAAATCAACTCATGGAAATATGAGCCAATGCAGACATTTGGACATGTCCTACATGTCTTGTGGCTGACATTTGCCACCACCAACAAATGATTCATAGAGGAATTTTGAAAATAAACATGTTTGAGAATTTCTGAGAGAAAAACAAGGATTCCAAATTGATTCTTATCCACTGCAGAAGTCATTATTTCATCTTCCTATGTTTTTGAGAAAGGAAGAAGACATGTTAAAATTTGTGAAAAACAAAGCAAGCAATAAAGGAATATTCCAATTTATACAGATGATCCTGTGCAAATATCATTCTGATGAAATGCCATTGGTTACAGTTCATCTTGTTTATTAAAATTCTTGCAGACACATGGATGAGTACCTTGGTGTCTGACAGTTGGGGTCGTCTCACGGGGGACAGCCTTTCATACATTTTTACAGACTCATTTTCCTATTTGTGGTGTATGCCGCAGCAGTTTGAGTCTGTAAAGCTTGCTGCGCAGTGCCAAAGATCATGTTTTAGACTCAAGATTACCGCCTGTGGTGGAGTTTCTCTGAGTATGGCTTTTGGTTGGCATGTCCAAACACATGCATGTCAGACAAAGAAAAAAAAAAAAGAGTAAAAGCTTACACTACGGGTGCTGGGTTTCAAAACATTCCTGAAGTTTGTTTGGAAATGTTTCAAAATATGTGCCCGCAGGGGTGGACGTCCTGGACCTTGGTCCAGGTACAGTTTGCAATGTGATTTGAAAGAGATTCCAATGGTCTTTTGATGAGCTTTCAATGTTTTTTTGAAATACTTTCAGAAAAGTTTTGGAATTCCCTAGTTTCAAAGTTGCCTCTGAAGCAAGACTTTGGAATGCTTCCGAAAGAGTTTCCAAAGACTTCTGTAGTAATTGGGAGGTTTTGGAACTCTTTTGGAACTGTCACAGTTCTGCAGTGGCACTCTTGGCTGGCTTTTGGATTGGCACCCTTGTCTCTTATAAGGGTTGCCCCATTTCATCGTTCATGCTCAATCATTTATCTGCAAGTTTCATGATTTTGTATTTCTGCTATGTATAATAGAGAAAAAAAAAAACTTCATAAAAAAGAAAATGAAAAAAAGGAAAAACATTTCACTTTGATCGACCAATTGAACTCCATACAAAAGAAAAAGAAAGAAAAAGACGAAAAACATTTCAGTTGGATTGGTCGATTGATTGGAGTGTAATGAAATAAATCATAAGAAAACACTAATATAAATAAACATATATGGGACTGAGCTTGAGTAAACGGTGGTAGTACTGGAGGGGTGCTTATGTGAAGGTAGCAGAGGAATGAGCAGTTTTTTGGATCTCAGTGAGGTGAGTGGGGTGAGCGAGTGTGACTGAGAATTTGTCTGTTCTTTGATAGTGCCAGGTTAATGAAAAAGGACAGGAGATGACTTATAAGAGAAGTTGAGGAGAGCTCAAGGAAATTGTCAGATGACAGAGGGGGAGAGGAGGTGATAATTCAAGATGAAGGAGCAAGAGGGGACCAAGACACCTTGGTCAACAATTGAGCTCTTTAAATACCTTCTCCAAAAAAAATCACATCTGTCAGCTGGTTTCTCCAACCAAAAAAAGCTTTGAAGTACTTTTGACTTTGTTTCAAACTGTTGGAGAAACCAAAGCATGGTTCAAAATTGTTACGAAAGGTTGGCTCCTCCCACCAAAAAACTTTTGGAATGATTTCCGAAGTGTTGTTTTAAAGTTCTGATCCGGCAATATCCGCCTAAAACCCGGAATCTTGCCGGATCAAAATCTTAACCAGAAGACTTCAAAATAGTCTCGATCTTTTTTTCGCAACTTTTGTAAAAGTTTTGATCTTTTTTTCGCAACTTTTGTAAAAGTTTCAATCTTTTTTTGCAACTTTTGTAAAAGTTTTGAAATTTTTACGAAAGCCGCTTTGAAATCAGCAAGTCCATGCGTTTCGAACATCATTTCGAAGCAAAACCTTAAAAGCACCCCCGTAGCGTAGCTGTTATAATTTTGAACTCAACACAAGGGTATAGGCCCCTCGTTTCAATTTTGGATTTTGCGGGCGGGGTGCAGTACGGAGCAGTCTGTACTTTGTTACAGTTTTTGGAACGGTCGGAAACCCCGGATTTTGTTTATGTTTTCCGTGTAGGTCCGGGCCTTACACAAGCCTCTGAGTGAGAGCCCGGAGGGCAGCCCCCCAGGGTCTCTGTCTCACCGGCTCAATGCGACAGCACTCGCATGCCAATACCGCCTATAGCAAGGAATCGGGACTTGCTTTGAGTTCGGTGTCGGTCCACGTCCACCGTATTGAGAGGTTCTTTTGACAAGATATAAACCAGGGCCCACTGCCCACATGAAGGAAGGCGGTCAGCCCACACCAACACCATAACTCACAGTAAAGTGCAAAAGGGCCTCAACACCAACTTTAGATCACACTTCATTCCTTACTAAGGATTGTCACCAGGTTTCTGCAACCATGAAGTCCTTTTACTGCACCTTTAACGTGCTATTCTTCATGATTGCTACGTTACATGTTAATCAAGTGTTAAGTACTAGACAGAATGAACCCAAAGAAGTCCGTGAACCTCAAGCTCAATCGGGCCCAATTAGGGACGTGGACCTTTACCCTCCTCGAGTTCCTACGGCCCCGGGGGACATAGACCTTTACCCTCCTCGAGTTCCTACGGTCTCAAGGGACGAAGACCTTTACCCTCCCCCCAATAAGGAACACGAGATCCAACCAGGCTGTTGCCGCTTCCACTGCCTTTGAAGCTCATCATTGGCTCACATAACTTGGTCGAGCGTGAGTCCATTCTCAAGTGTTCATACATACTAGATGTCGCCAAAGAGTGCTCTTACTAACTTCAAGTATAATGTCCTTTCACGCTCAACTTGTTATTCCAAAGCAAAGCTGGAATCAGGTCATCAACCCCGTTCGTGGCCTTACCTGGCCGAACTGTAAATAATCAAATCATTGGCATCTTGTAGCTTTGCCCTGCTTGAGCCCGCCATTCCTTTATTCATCATGATCACAAGTCCTTCGTTTCTCTTCCTTCTTTGCAAACCTTTCAAAGACCCGCTCGCGTCTTCAGTCCTCCGCTGCTATTGGTCAAGCCCAAACTGTGCATAGTTACCACATGGGATGTGCTTATATGACTCATTGGAATCTTTATGGTGACCCTTGGGAGCTTTCTATTACCGTAGCCTTTAACATAACTCGATCGCTACGAAGTCAAGGACGGGTCATCGAGCGTTTGATTTCTAGAACCAAAAGTGGCTCCAGACTGAATACTATTAACTAATTTCAAAATTTACGCGTGACCCCAGTTCTTTACAGTCAACAGCACTTCATTGCTACCTTGGCACAAGTCTCCCCTTCCACGATAGCAGGCTGGCTGTATAACACTGGCGCTGGCGGGTGAAGTTCGTCCTTTCCTACTGAGAGCGTCCCGCGGAGACGTGGTCTTCCTTAGGAACCCACCACTTGAGAGAGTTTGACATAGACCTTAGTACAGGGTTTGTCCAAATTTGAAACAAAAATTACAATAATAATGACAAACAAAAAAAGGGCTCGCGAGGGCGAAAGCTTTCTCTGTAATCCAACAGCTAACCGTCCAGCACTTAAAATACTAAGATTGCACTTGTATCAACGAGCAACGTGATCAGTCCCTGCAATCATGAATTCTGACATGTTATCAGGTGCTTGTGGAATACGCGCCTAAAGCCACGACCTAATGTCCATGCAGTCAATTGGACTCCAAGTGCTCATACTCGATGCATAGAATGAAGGGTAACAGGGATCGTCATGGTGGGTAGCCGCTACCCATCAATAAGCATCAATGAAAAGGCTTAGGTTGGAAGAACCAAAATCGCAAGCCTTCGTAACACTTCCGCGCGAGATGCAAAAGGGATATGCGACCTACATAAATTCTGCAATGGGATTGCACAATCGATTCATCGAATCTTTCAATTCACTCTCGCCTCGAGTCTCGACTTGTCACTTAGACAGTCAACTCAAGGATAATGGATGTAGTATATTAGCAGGCATGTAAGCCTTTGGTAAATGTTTCTTGGGGATTGAATCGATTTTGTAAGAACTTGAACATGTCTACAGCGATCTGCTATGTCGCTGTTGACTTTGATTTACAGCCCTTGGAATGGTTCCAACTTCCCTCCGCTCGGTAATTATGGAGGAGACACTCGGCCCAAGTCCAATCTTTTGTTCAAAGCTCTCCAAGAATTTAGTGGAGAAGCACCACTAGCCCGGGTCGCCAATGGGCACGAAAGCTAAAAAAGCCGATGCTGGTACGATGGAAGCTCAGCACGCAACACGTTTTGGCCCCAGACCTTACAATCTCCTGAATACGTACTTTTATTTATTATGTAGCCCGCGCTTTAAGCGTCTACTTCTCAGATTGTGACACGCCCACCAGTAGTCAACTCAGCTGCAGCCAGGTGTCTTGACCCGCACCAAAAAATTCAAAATCAGCGCGAGGCCGCGAGTGGCAGCAGTTGAGATCAGAGCATGTCGATGAGATGCATTTCATCTTGCCAAACACAAATCGACGTGTCCACGTCCTTTCCCCTTCTTGAACCCTGTGCACCAGCCGAAAACAGGGTGCTCATAGAATTATTGGGATTGCTATTACTGGTACATAGAGTCCTACTTCTCGATTGATGCAATGCGCCAAAGCTGACAAGCCAGGATGCTAATTGGCGGCACACAAGCCCATGTAAACATCGGTTTTGTTGAGTGTGAGTTACACCACCGATTATTCGGCTCGCTGAAATCTCACCCTGGGATCGCTTGTCTTGGGTGCGGCAGCATTAATTGCACGACATTGACCAGTGGCCGCTGCGATGAGCGCTAACGTCGAATGTCAAGAAGGTGACTCGGCGATAACCCCCTGTCTCGCTATCACGTCGTGGAACAAATTCTACGCCGCTGCAGGTATTCGTTAGATGATTTCTTGGAGGTGTAAGGTGTAAGCTGATCAGGAGGGGGGGGGGATCGCCATGTGGTGAAAGTCCGCAACTGGAATATGACTCACTCATTATAAAGACTTGGGTCTTCCACCCTCATATTCATTCCCCATCACGCTCATTCGCTTGATCCTTCTCACATTAATATTCTGCGCCAATAGCGTACATCACATTCTAGAACGACCTTCAAATCACTGTAAGTCTTGTTATTTGTCTTGAGCCCCCAAGGACCCCACTTTTCTTTTGCCAAAGGGAAAGGAGAGCATCGTAAAACGGCCATTCTTCCGAAGGCATTTCTTTCCAGAAACATCGACAGCCTGTTTCATCACATCTTTAACATCGTGTTCTCTACTTCCAGAAACGACTCTCACTTCAAAACTTCCACGATGAAGATTTCCTTAGACATGCTTGTCTCTGCTTTGCTGCTGCCATTGGCCAGTCAAAGTATAACCGTCCCCAGCCATCGGCGCGTCTTCCATGGAAACCTTGGTCTGAATTCCACTAACCTCCACCGGGCTGGTGTTGCTGTTGGATTTTTGCCCGGCTTCCGAGAGCGTATCGCCCCCAATGCGGTCAGAGATATCAACAACTTGCTGCCTGCTCCTATGGCAATTGTCAGTGTTGCCGCTCTTTCTATGGTTCTTTAACTTGCTAACAATTAATCCAAACTATTTTCATTCTAATTATTCATAGGTAGGAGACTATATCCACCTAGAAGAGCACGACCCAAACCTCTCCACACTTGATTTGGTACGCCAACGATTCCATTTTTCCCAACTATACTAATGCCTTCCCGAACGCGTTTCTCACATCTAAATGCATTTCTTTTCTAGCACTTACCACACATCCTGAGCTCACCAGGAAACCCAGTCTGGCAAATCGCCCTTTTGCCGAGCGAAGGATTAGAGAAAGTGACGCCGTATGTGGTAGGTGATCTTTCGTCTTCTCAAGTCCGTGTTTGTTCCCCGGGATTGAGAGAGCGAAATGGGATGGAAAAACGTAGGCCGATCGGATTGCCATCAAAATGGCATCGATCAACAAACTTGGAATCACTGTTTGGTTGCGATTTGCTCACGAGGTATGTAAGACTCAGACCAATCGTGATGAAAAAAAAAGAATGGTGGTGCTCATGAATTCTCTGGCATAACATAGATGAACGGAGACTGGTATGGATGGGGTCTTAAGCCTGAATGTCAGTACACTTACTTCTCTCGAACATGTGCCGCAAGAAATTGAAATCTTTCCATTTCGACCTTAGTGTTCCGCCAAAAATGGAGAATGCTCGCCCACGCAATTAGAGCTCGAACACATGGCACATGTTGAGTCCCGATCTCTTTTCCTTGGCTGACGGTAATTTCCCGTAAAGCAAGTGCACTCGCTGATCCAAAGCTGTCTCATCTCAATCTTTCTCTCAATCATGCCACCCAAATGGTATCCCTCGCTGTTGACAAAACAGACATGCTTTGGGCTCCTAATGTCGCTTTTGGCTCATACGAAGATTCGATCAGAGGCGGCTACAGTCGATACTGGCCAGGTGCCGATACCGTCGATATTTCGGGTCAGTTTTCCACTTGATGAAACAGCCAATAATCTGACTAAGGCTTGACTTAACTGACACTGGTTTGGTCATATCACAGGGCTTTCGTTTTATCACTTTGGAGGTCCGTCTGCAATCATAAATCTTTCCCGCATGAGCTTTGGATGTTCTTTAGGACATCTAAACTGATGTCCACATTTCAATATTTTCTAGGGGAGGACCGATTGAACGTTTTGCCGCGTCCAGGCGAGGCTCTTGAGAAGATCCAAGAGTTTTCTCAAGTAAGTCCAAAGAATGCCAGTCGACTCTAATGAGCCTTGACCACATACTTACTAAGGTTTCCTGACATGTGCTTCTGAAGCTTTATGGCGCTGGACAAGGCAAACCGATTGTTCTTGCAGAAACTGGTGCTGCATACACCACTTCCCTTCGAACAGGGCGTCCGACATTTGGAGGTGCTTCGAACCATGACATCAAGTTTGCTTGGTTGAAGCAACTACTCTCAGGGGAGTTGAAGCAGCGTGTTCCTGAGCTCAAAGCGATCTCTTGGGTAAGCTAATCTCCAATTACACCAAACAAAAATCGTGGGCTGACCAACCCGGAATCATTTTCCCTCATTATCCAGTTTGAACTGATCAAAGATGAGAATGCTGGGTACGTATTGTTATCAACCAGTTCTTTCTTTCGTCTCTGGGATGACCTAGTCGCTCATTTTTATTCTTCGTTTCTGTGCATGTTGTTGAACATAATATGTGAACCGCAGCGTCCAAGGTACCAACGTCAAATGTGAAGATTACCGATTGATTGTCGGCGAGGAGCGCCTCAGCCGGGATGCAGTCCGTTTCTTGCAGGGCGGCTACTATTAAAAATCGCCGATAGAGGATCAAGCAAGTTTACAAGTCGGCAGTTCCCGGTTATCACCGCCGATCGGTGTGGTTAAAGCAAATTCCCTCTGGATGGAGAGCTGGATCTTACTTTTTATTATTATTCATTTGGATTTGTGTTGAGAGCAAGATTTAACAGTTGTCTACATACATAAAATCATCCCAACATAGCTTGTTTTTGAGAAATTAGCTCCTTACGTCTCACAGCTACTTATCTTCAATGTCTACCTCACGTATCTTTCTCTGTGTTCACTCTTCAAGAATCTATTTATTTTATACCCAAATCTAGCCAACCGTGGGGAGTGATGCATAAGTGAATTGCAACAGCCTGAAAGTGCCAGCAAGCTACGTGCCATTGTTTTAACGCAAGCCAACTGGGTAGAGCACCCTGAAACGAGGTCAATGAACATCCAAGATGATCAAGTGCCTTTAGATGTTTTTGAGCCTTTTCACTAGATGAGCTGGCAATCGATATGGGATGTAGCGTATGTCGAGAGTCGTTTGAGGGGAAAAAAAAATTGTAACATTGCGTTACAAATAATTGGGAATGAGGACTCTACTCGGTGTACGAAATCGTTGATTGCCTCGCAATAAGTCAAGAGTCAACAAGCACATGTTTTTGTGAAGTCCACTCCCCATGTTACCGCCTTTTAGAAGCCCAAATCGTATATCTACTCAGTCTTCATGTACATTCGAAATGTAGGGAAATCATGCTCCGGTTCAAATCCCGCATCTTATTAATTTGTTGCCCAGGCACAAAGAAAAAATTCATTCCAGTTGGGATCTTGTTCCAATTTTTACTTGATGGCTGGAACATGAAAAAAATTTGGCAATCGATTGATGGACTTTGACTCTTTTGGGATATTTACTGGGGTGTGCGGTAATCGTATCCTGTTAGATTCATACTGGAGCTCTGTATCCTGGATATTTAATCACGGTTATTATAAGAGACGCCATTTCGAAATTTTGAAAAGGCTTGTATATACAGTTATGGCAATTTGACTACATAGTTAAGGATCCATCACCGTTCGGCTTCTTTATCAGCAATCGGATTTGCGTGGATGGTTACCTGGAGATCGAACATAAACTATCAATACATCACCACGAAACAGCACCAAATCAGACGAGGTTCTGCTTACGCCGGTCATCCTAATTTCTTGAACCGGTCTGTGTTTCTCGTTGACTGCGACTTTCTCCATCAGATCAAGGGTGCCATTGATAGCACCATCGATCACCCGACCAATGATAGTGTAATGTCCATCCAAGTGAGGTTGCTTTGCGTATAGAATGAAAAATTGGGCCCTATTTGAATTTTGAAGACGAGCGGATCAGTAAAGTTCTACGTAGTTAAAATGCTGGGAGGTGGAATTGTGGCCAGAAACGGAGGATGTTTGACCAACTTGTTGGTGTCTCGACCACTGCTCGCCATAGCCACAATACCGCGTTGATTGAACTTCAGAGTTGACCGGATTTCGTCTGCAAATGGTCTCCCCCAGATTGATTGGCCACCTTTCCCTGTCCCTGTTGGATCTCCGGTCTGTCTACATACACATACATGCATACGTACCAAGATGAAAACAATTAGCATTTCGGTATCGAGGTGAACAAAGCAAAATGATTCCCCACTCAACATCATGAAGCCCTTGATGTTGCGATGCCAGATACACTTGTCATAGTATCCGGAGGCGCACAGGGCCAAGAAGTTCTAGATAATGGTGTACCAAAGGGATGGACGTTTTAGCAGATCGAATTTTCATGTCAGGATGATCTAACCAACACCGTGTCAGTACAGAATGAGATAGACAAATTTCTATACGTAACTTGCCTCTGCAGCCCGAGGGACCGCCTCAGCGAAAACCTCGATCTTCAAGTCGCCTAGACTAGTGTGAAGTGTTACACTCTTGATATTGGAGGAAATGAAGAAAAAAAAAGTGAATTTCAGCTAGTTAATTTGAGGATTGGCGAGAGAAGCAAGTCGAGACATACCATGATTCTAGAAATCCAGTCGATCAACTTCGTCTATGTAGTTCGAGTACGATTCTCTTGAAACAGTCCAGCCATCGCTTCAGAAGCTCAGGGGAACTTCTCTTGGCTCTGCCGACCTCGGGGAGTCTGTGACATCTGCGTGGAACTGCAGTGAGCCGCAAATGACAGGTGTGTGAAAGCCCATGCCAGAGTGGTGACCAGCCAGAGGTCAGAGTCGCGAGTCGCGAGTAATACGGGATGATCCTGAAATTATACTTCATCAACCTCGATCTACTCACACAAGACATCGAATTGAGAACACCTCAACATTAATCAGCTTCAACTCCGAGAATAAACAACCGATGGCAAAGCGAACGACAAATGAGAAGCCCGCCGCCTCCAAAGCACCCGCATCCAAGAAACTGAAAACTGACCCGGAAGCGAGTTCTTCATCTGCCCCAGCCAAACCCAAGTGGTTTCCCGGCAAGGAGCGTGCAGGCCCATCTGCTCCAGGTTTGCTATTCCTTACTCTCACCTTTGATTCCCCTGTCCAAAGGGAAAAAAAATGCTGAAGTCAGATTTATTTCTACCCCTTCAATAGGGTCTAAACCGATTCCAGAAGGCGCAGAGAATTGTCTGGCTGGATTGACGTTCGTCTTTACGGGTGAATTGGAATCCCTGAGTCGAGAAGATGCACAGACGCTCGCCAAGAGATATGGAGGGTACGTCTCATTTCCTTCTTACTCAAATAATTCAACCCTTTGCTAATATTTCTCATCTCGAAATATTATCCGCAATTTCATCCAGTCGTGTGACTACCAGTCCATCTTCAAAAACTAGTTTCGTTGTCCTGGGATCCGATGCTGGACCTAAGAAGTTGGAGATGATCAAGAAGCACAAGATCAAGACGATCACCGAGGACGAATTTCTGAACTTGATTGGCTCGAAACCGTTTGTTGAACTTTCATATAAAAACGAAAAAACTCTTCCAAAAATTGATAATTCTTTACTGTCTTGATTCTGTTGACAGTTCTGGTGAAGTTGATGCCAAGACTTTGAAGAAGCAAGAGGACGAAGTGAAAAAAGTCGAACAAGCTGCTAAAGAGTTGGGTCCGCCAAAGGGAAGTGTAAGGTGAGTGATTCTTAATTCTGATGATCAAATTAGCTCGAGCTAAATATTGAAAATATGTTAACTCATATAGTGAAAAGACATCGGCAGGACAATTGTGGACAGTTAAATACGCACCCAAGAACCTAGGGGATCTCTGCGGTAACAAGACACAGATCGACAAAATCCAAGCCTGGCTTCGTGATTGGTCAGTTGAAGTTGACCTGACGGGACCACCAGTTTTGTCACACTGTGACATGCTTGTTTCAGAAATAGATAAATTGATGAATGACTCTTTTAGGTCCAAGTTCAGACGTTCGAATTTTACCAAACCTGGTAAGGATGGATTGGGGATGTATAGATGCGTCGTGCTCTCTGGTCCGCCAGGCGTGGGTAAGACATCGGCCGCCCACTTGGTTGCTAAGGCTGAAGGATACGAAGTGATCGAGCTAAATGCCAGTGACACGCGCAGTAAGAAACTCTTGGAGACTGGCTTCAAAGATATCATTGGAAATAGCAGTATAGCTGGCTTTTTGGAGGTTAATCGTTCACTTTCAACTCTAAGAGAACGCTATATCGGGAAGGCTAATCATTGTGACTGATCCTGCAGACTTCGACGAAACGGTCGGAGAAATTGGTGTTGATTATGGACGAGGTTGATGGAATGTCAGCCGGTGATCGAGGGGGTGTGGGCGCCCTGAACGCGTTGATTAAGAAATCGCAAATCCCGATCATCGCGATTGCGAATGACATGTCGATCCCGAAGATGAAGCCGTTGAAGGCGACCGCTCTTTCGCTTGTTTTCCGGAGACCGAACGTCAACATGATCCGAAGCCGGATGATGAGCATTGCCTTCAAGGAGGGCATGAAGATCCCGCCCAACGCCATCGATCAACTCGTCGCTGGAAGTCAATCAGATATCCGACAGATTATCAACATGCTATCCACCTGGAAGATCGGAAATAGTGAACAAGGACCTTCTAAGACGATGGACTTTGATCAAGCACGGCAGCTGTTAGTTTTCTTTTCTTTTCTTTTCTACCGCCCCTCTGCTCTATATGATTTGCGATATTGAGTGACTGGAATTCTGATCCGTAGAACTTCTGAAAATGAGAAGGATGCTATCATGTCCCCTTGGGCATTGATGAGCAAAATCTTCGCTCCTCAAACTTGGAGTCAAATGACTTCGATGACATTCATTGACAAGTGTAATTTGTACTTTCACGATCACGACATGCTGCCATTATTTGTACAGGTTGGTCAGATTTTTACCTCCTACTGAACCAAAAAAAAAACGGAACTTCTCAGCTCCAAGATTCTTTTACGGAGTATTCTCATGCAACATTTTGCTGACCTGTCTTTATGTTTAGGATGGCTATGTAAAACATGATTATGGGCAAGCCAGGACCTACGCTGGCCAGGAGAAGGCCGCCAAGAAAATGGAGCTGCTCTCGTTGGCTGCTGATTCGATTGCAGATGGGGATTTAGTAGATCGAATGATCCATGGGTGAGTTCCAATCGGATTCTGCGTGTGTGTATGGATGAGTGTCTGTTGATAAAATTTCAGTGATGCTTCAGCTGACTGTCCTTTCCTTACTTGTAGCCCGCAGCAGCATTGGAGTCTGATGCCACTGCATGGGGTGTTTTCGGTGGTCAGGCCGGCTTACTATTGTCATGGCCCATCCACTTCAGGCGATTTCGGCGGCTTTTCGTTTCCGTCTTGGTTCGGCAAGAATTCTACTCAGGGCAAACTGAGTCGAACGATGGGCGAGATTCACGGTCGAATGCGAATGAAAATCTCTGGTGATAAGAGGGAGACTCTGATGAACTATCTCCCAGTTTTATACCCGAGATTGATGGATCCATTGGTTCAGGATGGCGGTGCTGAGATGGTGGATCAAATCATTGATCTGATGGATGAGTACTACCTGACTAAAGAGGAGTGGGATAACCTGGTAGAAATCATGGCCATAGGAAAGTCGGCAGATGAGATACTGAAGCAAATCCCATCGGCAACTAAATCAGCTTTTACCCGAAAGTCAGTCTATTCAATCGAGGCTCCTCCTCCTTCCCGTTCCTAGTTCCTGATACCTTCCTTGGTGACTCTCTACTTACCCGCTTTGGATGATGATTAGATACAACAAAGCTTCCCATCCAATCCCATTCCAGAGGGAGGTCGTCGGGCTTGCCGTTTCCAAGAAGATCAAATCTGATGCGATGCCTGATGTGGAAGAACTGGCTGAGGTGAGCAAGTTTCAATTTAGGAAAACATTGTACCTGACCACTGATAAAAACCCTACGGAAAACTCCGCGATGACATTTTGCTTGTAGATGGATGTGGAAGAAGAAGAAGTAGAAGAGGATGGCAAGTCGGATGAGGATTCGACTGATATCACCAAAGATAAATTGATCAAGGCTAAAAAACCTGGACGGGCTGCAGGAACTGGTGGGAAACCTAAAACTAAAGCTGCTACTGCTGCTTCTTCTTCTACTAAGGCTCCTAAGGCGGCTCCTAAAACTAGTAAGGCTCGGAAATCAACAAAATAATTAATCTGTGTATCCGTATGATGTGGTCTTCGTTTTGTTTCTTTTCTTTTTTTTTTGATGGAAATTCAAAATTTGGTTTGCAAGTTGTAATTTTTGTTTGCTTTGTTTTTCTCCAATGTTACATGAATACTGCATCACATACTTGGTTGTGATCATATGAATGCATTGGAAGGTGAAGGGTCATCTTTCATCCAAAAATGAGTTGGAGTAGTCAAATGCTGGTCAGCTGTAAAGAGTGAACGGGGTGGTCCCGAAACCACCCCGGGTGGACTCCTGACACCTTTCCTCTTGAGAAAAAAATTGTACATTCTGAAAGACTCGAAGGTTTCAGAGAACCAATTTACCCCGGTTTATCAACCTTAGTCAGGACTGATAATTTATCGATGGAGAACGAGTGTTCAACAGCCAATAAGAAAGTAAGCAATTCAGAATAAGTCATCCAAGAAAACTATGTAACTGATCCCAGTGAGTTTCCATCATTCATATGTAGAGACGGCGGAAGTCCTCAGGGAAATGCAAGGCTGCGATGAAGGAACTAGTGCGTGAATCGATGGCCAGGCTAGTATCCCAAACCAGCGAGCCATCTGATGAGCCAGATCAGCCAGTGGAAGAAGAGCAAGCCACCCCGGGGATCAAACCCAAACTTTCATCCTCCGATCACTCCAACTGCATCCAAGCAAACCTAACTGGAGATCAGCTTACTGGAACAGCCCAGAATCCAACAGCCCAGAATCTAACGGCCGAATTCGCAAGGATCCACAAACCGCATAAGCCATCTGCCAATGTCACCCCAAGCTCAACCAAGGGGCGTCAGTATACCGTCAGCATCGCCCTGCCCGGCAGCATCGTGAATAATGCCCAGACCTGGGAATTGAAAACTGCCTTGGTTGGTCAGGTAAGCCGTTGGCTCTGAAAGCGGGGGGGAGTCTCTTATGCCACAGCCACTGAATCCTGACGCACACACCTATGATTTCAACGTACAGATTGCCCGAGCCTGTGCAATCTTCAGTGTCAATGAGATCATCATCTTTGATGAGTCTGTCGGAGAAGCCGATCCATCTGCCAAGCCCCATCAGCCATCCTCAACGTACGGCCGAGCCAAATACCGGACCCCGGCCGAGGACCTAGAGCTTGCCGGCCCAGAGGACGGCCCATTTCAACCCAGCCATTTCGTAGCCCGGATATTGGAGTACCTGGAGTGTCCACAGTCAGTCTCGGCCTGCCATTTCCCAAGAAAAAAAAGGGCGGTTCTTGAGGGAATTAAACGGAGCGCTGATCATCTGACTATCTATCTGCGATCAGGTACCTCCGCAAATCACTCTTCCCGATCCATCCTGACCTACGCCTAGCTGGCCTCCTCCCACCGCTAGACTTACCTCATCATTTTCGAAAAGACCATGAGACCCCTTGGCGGGAAGGTTGTATCCTACCCGCAGATAAAGTCGAGAACTATGTCGCTGGTGGTCACTATCAAAAAAAGAAGAATCGGAAAGGGGATGACAGGAAAACCTCATGGGCAGATGTTGGGCTGGCCGAGCCAGTCCAAGTCCAACTTGATGAGGGTGTCTCATTGCCCGATTGGACAAGAGTTACCGTTCAGATGCCCCAAGGAGAGGGTAAACTAGGTAAGCAAACAACACCTAACAATTTGACACAATGGTTTTCATATTGAGTGTTTTTGATTCCCTCTGAAAATCTTTAGCCCGACTCGTCTCGCCTCGTCTTCCAACTCAAACAACAGGAATTTACTGGGGGTATTCGATCAGGCTTGCTAGTAGCATCTCCAAGGTGTTTACTGAGACCCCCTACGCCAGCGAAGGTGGATACGATCTTACAATCGGTACGAGCGAGCGTGGTGAAAATGTGGATGATGTTGTTGATGGAATAGGAGATTTCAAGTCAGTCCATTTCAACCAGATTGCTCACAAGAAACCAATAGCCTTCCATCTCCTCATCTCAACCTGCCTAAACATTCACATCTCCGATCATCCCAGACATATGTTACTCGTCCTCGGTGGCCTCTCTGGACTCGAGCTGACCATCGCCTCAGACGACACTCTTGAGCCGCGTCTGACTGCTGCAGACGCTCCTTTGCTTTTCGACCATTGGCTCAACACCTTACCCTTCCAAGGCAGTCGCACCGTACGCACAGAAGAGGCTTTGTTGGTTAGCTTAGGGGCTCTGAGGCGGTTGTTATTCAGGAGCTAGGGGTGCTGCACTTCCGATCGACTACTCTCTCCGTAAACTCTGTAATGATCCTCTCAATCTTCAAACCTCATGTGACCTCATCCAACCCTTTGTCGTCGACAGGCCAATCTCACCCACCTTCCCCCCCTGTCCAGCACTCAGCCACTTTAAAACTGTCTTCACTTTTTCCCCCGCTCGACTTTTGATTATTAAACTCCGCATGCTTCCGACTTGAAAAAGTTAATACTCTTGGTGGAATCTTGAAAGCTTTTATCCTCACTTACATCCAGGACAACTGAGCCAGTCAATCTTTTGACTGTTCATTTGATACTTCTAATTATCCAGTCAAAGCTCTGTATTCTGCCTTGAAACTCTCTCTATACCTTCAAACTAACCTAAAAAACTCTGCTAAACTTCATCAGCCAAAAATATCAGTCGCATAGTTCTCCACATCATTTCATACTTTATAACCCAATCATTGATTCATTCTTTGGAATACCTACTGCCGGATATTCGAGGGCTTTCTCAATCAGCTCTGATGAGTTCATCAATCCCTTACTCTGATAATCCGACGGATGAATCCACACCACTTCTCACGTCCGACGTTGCTGTGCAGAGGCCCCATTGGCCCAGGGTAAGTACAGGCTTAACGAAGTACCATTGTTATCCTCCAGGAGCTGATTGACTTTCTTATTTCCGCTCATTTGTCAATCAAAGAATCGGGAATTAGGATGGTTGATGCCTTATGGCTTGAAATATCCTCCTCCGGTTCTGCCCAGACCATTAAGGGGTCTACAGGCTGGTACGTGAACAGATTAACATTTGGTAACCGAATCATTCTGGAGTCTTGCTTCTAATAGGAATGTTCTTTTGCGGGTGTCGAGGATAGACCTGGATTCGGCTTGGATGGAACTGGAAAGACAACAAGTGATTGCTAACCGGGTGAATCTGTGAGCTCTCATTCCTACTTTTTTTTTCTAGTGAAGTGAAGTGATATGAACCCCTGATTTTGCGTTTTGTTTTGCGGGTGTTGCATTGTAACAGATTGACATCGACGATGGCGTTATTGATCACGAGCTCAGGAGGGATAACGACGGCGATGGCGAGCAACAAGAACGTGAGGATCTGGACGACGGTAACGGGGATGCTGACGACGATTGCGGGGACGGTGATGGGCGGGATACGGGCAATGGGCCAGCCGCGACGGGCGGAGGACCGGGTGCGTCGGCTGGAGCGGATCATCGAGCATATCGGCCGGCTGTACTACTCCGTCGGGCCCGATGACAGCTCCTCGCACGAGCAGGCCATCGAGCAGACCTGGAAGATGATCGACGAGGAGGAAGACCGGACCGAGCTCGAGGAGCGTAAGGCTGGTAGTTTCGGCTACCGCATCCACTCTCCTCCTCCTTCCCCCTCTTCTATCCCCCAGTCAACCGCTCAATCACTGCCTCAAGGCAGTCCACAGGATGATTCGGCTGGCTCAAAACAGGAGATCATGCGTCCTCGACTTAAAATGAGAAGAGCTAGTACGCTCTTAGGGAACCATTTCTCTTCATCCGATCGTCCTACTCGTGTTTAAGAATGCAAACCTCAACATTATCTGCATACCTTCTTTTGTTTCACGGTTCACCTGAATCCAAGGGGAGCTATATGGGACATTTAATTTTCTTTGACTTTGCTACTTGATTATGATCTTGTTCTCTTTTCGGTTATAAACTTGTAATTTTATTTCAAAATTTGTTTCCCTCCCTTACTCTTTCATTAATCGACATCATACCAATCAATTGTACAGCTTACAACTAAGTCTGGAAAGCTTGCGGTTTGACAGAACTGAAAAAAAAAGGAAAACAAGCTTTCAGGCGTGTCTAAGTTCAGCTATAGAGTCGGTACAATTCTGTTGTTTTTACAAGCGAATGTAGCGGTGAAAGTGGGAGAAAAAATAAGCAAGGCTCAGGTAAGCCCTCCACCAATCAACTGGTTCATAAAAATCCGGGTGGAAATGTACTTTTGCTACCATGAGCACGGGGTTGATTTCGCTGGAAATCACGACTTGAATAATATCTACATGCCGAAAAATGCTTCTCTTCTCGCCCTGCTCACGACCTTCAACGCAGCTCAAAGATGAATGTAACTGTCCTGCTCCGTGTTGAACCGCTCCATACTGAATTTCGGATGCTTCTCCGACATGTCCGAGACTGGGCTCCTCACTGACACGACGGGAGCCTAGAATCTGACAAAGGCAAGGCTCCCTCTGTATCCATTTATATAGTCTAATAAATGCTCACACTGCCTGAAGAATGATTTTGCTGCAAAGATGAGGGTGGTGCATGCGGAGGAAAGGGAAGGCGTCATGGGCATGCAGACTTATTCAAGTGCCTGGCGGATTTTCCGGGCTGTTGGCTTGTGGGAGGCATCAGGCTCAATAGCCGCGGGGGACTTTCGTTCCGTATGGACCTAGCATACATAAATGGTTACGTTACCACATTTGATTTTCCCCTGGTCATGATGAGGACCGTGAAGACTTGGGACCCGGTTGAAAGTTGACCGGGCAGGTTCTGGACATCCATATGTAGTCGTCCGATGAGAGATTTAAACCGCCGGAAAAACCGCCCGCCCGGGGTATCTCTGCTCGCCTCCGGACGGTCTCTCTTGCTTGGGCAAGTATTCGGGAGCCGGCAGCTGTTGTTGACCCAGCCAAAATGCAGCCTCGCCGGCTGTCTCTCTTCTCCGACCGAGATGGCTTACAACGGACGTGGATTTTTCTTCTTCTTCTTCGTCTTCTATGTAATTTACACGCTAAGGTTCCTGAGGCCTAATTTCCTTATTGGATTGAAAGATAAACTAAAAAAACAATCAACGAAACAGCAAATGAATGATCGAAACCCCTAAATGGGAGTGTGAAAGATAGAATCAAGACAGGAAAGGTATCTCGGCTGGACTGGGTAATGAAAGATACACAAGCAATACATATGTAAGTTCTTATTTATTTTTTCTCTTAAATTCGAAGAGGATTTTGAATGAAATTGACGATATACATATGATATTTATCTTGACTGTTCTTCAAGTTCGTTGGACTTCCAAACTTTTTCCAACTGTTTGCGTTTTTGCCTTCCTTCTTTAACATGCGCCGAAGATCTTGCCATCCGCTACTCAGAACAGCGGATCACGATTGTTGTTGATATTTTCAATCCGAGAGCAACCGATCGACCGATCCACCCCAATCGAACAAGATCATAGGGAACAATCAATACAAGACAACGAAATTTCAGTTTTCCAAGAAAAAATGTTTTCCCCTGGCCCTTAAAAAGTCGAAAGAGAGAGAGAGAAAGGAATGGAAGAAAAAGACAAGACCTCAGCATGCAAACATTTATCCAACTGTCGTCGGATATCATTACATCCCCCGGTGTAATACGTCCAAAAACCGCTCTGGTGACATTCGTGCAAGGCTTCTATGATCGGACCACATGCTGTATTTATTCAAAATTAAAAAAGAAGAGACGCTTCAGATCAGCTTTTTTTTCAAGAATGAGATGAGATGTGTTGGGAGTATTAGAAGAGATGCCGATAGGTTTCTGCTGAAATGAAGAGTATCTGATCCTAATAAACTGACCCTCGACTTTATTTCCGGTCAGATGTGGATGCATGTCGGTTCTGTCTGTCTGTGTGTCGTCTGTCTTGGTCTGTTCGAGCTGGTCTTGGTCTGTTCGAGCTGAAGAGAAGTGTTCAGTTATGGAAATTGTTAATGTTAAACCTGGTACTTGATTGATTTTAAGAGTTGCTTACTTTTTTTTTTCTCGAAGAACTGTTGGGCTGACTGGACCAAGCTATGATTTTAAGCACAATTGCCCCGGGGGAGTGCTCGGGGATGCATAAGCAAATTTCAAATATACACATCCACTGCACCCTTCACCCGGAGATGATGTGAAAACTCGTATCTACTTCTTTGCATGTTCAAGCCCACAAAAAAGGATTGGATAAAAAGGAAGCAAAGGATGAAGTGTACCCAAGAGATTGAAACAGACTATGAACAACTCGAATGGCCACATCTCAACACAAACACAAACCCAGAGACATTGAAGGAGACAAACATATGAGCAGAATCAGCAAACAAACAAAAGAGAGATGATATGAAAAACTTTTTGTAATTAAATGATCAATTAATCTTGGATGAGAAATGAATGAGATAAATCACAAAGGCAAAACAAAACAAAATCTATTGACGTATTTATTGGAGAGTCGAAAAGGGGGAACAAAAGGAAAGTCTCTAAACACAATCTTGACAAAAAAAAAAATGGGATGGGATGATGAGAATAATGAAGAAAGGACAAAAAAGCAGGAGCCTGTTGCAATCCAAGAGCAAAATGAGGTAAAAAAATTACAATGTCTTTACTTTATAGACAGTCAATGGATGCACACATAGAGATGAAAAGAAAAAAGAAAAAACGAAGAGAAAACTTCAACAGACCGTTCCCGTTCTTTCTGCCTTAGATGATAAACACACACACGCAAGTTGAAAAAAAGCGAAGAGAGGAAGAAGAAATCATATGGAGCGGGTTTTTTTTGGTTTGGTGGACAAAATGGGTTGATCATTGAAGGGAAGGGGCTTTTTCAGTCATCAGCATCAGCCGACGACGAGGATCGATATTACTGTCAATCGAATCGTCTCGATCTCGATCGAGGTCTTCGTAATCATTGTTTGGATGTGCGACGTGATGCTGGTGTTCTTCTTCTCCTTCTTCTGAGCCTGAATCAAGATCAACATCTTCCTCTTCATCGTCCTCCAGCTTCGAATAGATCTTTGAGTCTTCCTTCGTCCGGTTTGTCAAGACTATCGAGCCTTGTCGATCTCGTCCATCAGATAGATTGACATTCTTTAAGCTCTGTTTATATTTCTAAATAATAACACCCGAACCATAAAGAAAAAAATAAACTCAGGATCAGTTTGGTTGTGTGCATGGCTGTATCTTGTTCAGGAGATAGCGACACGGAATGAGAAGGACTGACGAGTACGTTGTACAGGCCGATGCCGAATAAAGTGATTCCTAATCCAGATATGTTCAATGGTGTCATGATATCATGGAAGATGACTGTCGACAAGAAAATCGTTCCGACTTCTTTGAATACTCCAGCAATCGAAAGAGTGACCACTGAGGTCCGTTGGATCAAACTAGGTCCCAAAGAGGGGGAGAAACATAGGGAATCAGGATTAAAAAGTGCACGAGTGAAAGAAACGAAAGTAAGAAACGTACAAATATTCGCTAACCGTCATCAGATAGGCCAAGACACCAGCAGTAGCGATGTAAGTCATCGTCATGAAGCTCTTCCCGAGATCGCCAAAGAACGCCTGTTCGCTCAAGAGATTACTCCAGCCTTCGAAAATCAAGGAGCAGAAGGAGAGGGAGAGTCCCATAGTCGGAGCCAACCAGAAGATCGTGGCGATCGGCGTGTTCATGCCCATGGATTGTTTATCCAATAGGATCTGAGTTAATGACCATCTCAGTCCTCCCAAACAGGAAGCCGATAAGACTTCGACCATCCCCCAGAAATCGAACTGGGTCTCCGAGGAGACCATCAGGACCACTCCAGCAGTGATCAGTAGGATGATTCCTGTTAACTTGTACGTCGGCTTTTCTAGCTTGAAGAGGAATGCGAATAATAGTACAAATGCTAGAGATGACGACTTGCACATGGCTGGATGATCGTAATTTGAATTGGTTGTTGATGTCATTGAAGAAGAAGAAGAAGAAAAGATTTAGTAAGTATAAAAAAACAGATGATCAGAAGGTAGAAGGACTGAACTGTAAAAGGACAGGGTGACTGTTTTGAGACTGGTATTTGATAATCCAATATCTAAACCTGAAGCCATTCCACAAGGAAGAGCTTTCCTCCTGTGTGAAGAAATCCCTCCCAAAAAGAAAGGAAATCAAAATGAGTGTGTGATTATCTTTTTATTTTTGTAAAGAGAGAGAATGGATATGTTTTTGATTGTTTACTGACAGATAATCGTGTGAGGTAGGTCGTGTTCTTGATCTGATGGATGGAAAGAGAGCCAATGTCAAGGCGGCCAGACCGAATTGGATGTACATATGACAAGCAGAGACGAAGAGGGGGTACTGGAAGTTATAATGATCGGGTGAGAACATCCATTTGTCTGTTGAACATACAGACAAGAGAAGGTCAAATTAATGTCAGCGGGAGATCACAGGACTTGGGCAGAGTCTGATTGAGCGCTTACTGTAGAGTGAGATGAGTGTTGCGAAGAGGTACCAGGAAGCGATGAAGGAGGCATTGATGAGTGCATTTTTCCAGAAGGTGGCCTTTGTGGATGGAGTTATAGTGTTCCTCGGCTTACTGGTCGTCGAGCGTTCTAGGTCGTGTTCTTCTGTTTGTTGTTCTGCTTGTTGTTGTTGTTGCTCGTAATAGTTAGTTGGTGTTGCTGTTGAGTAGTTGTAGTCTTGTTGGTTTTCAGTTGAGTTCATTTTTTCAAAGTCAAAGTGTGAAAGTGTTGAGGTTGGCTTAAATTTCCACTCTGAAGTGGTGTTGCTAAAAGTATGGATGTGTTTCTCTTGATTATGTAAGCCCTCCCCCCCACCCTCAAACTGGTTTCATCTCCAAAGAGAGCGCTGTTCCTTGACCATTCTTGGAGATCACCTTCACAGATTCATGATATCCATCTTCAACAGCCCAATGTGCACCCACTCTCAACCAGATCAGGAATGGTCATACAGGTTGGAGATTTCCTACCTGGATACTTTTAAGTACTCTTGGTGCTGAATATGGTGTTTGCTGACTTTGCTCTCGTTCAGCTGGTCCTTCGGCACTTCATGGCCGACCACCAGCCATGTTTGGCCGATGGTCAACAGCCCATGGCTACTAGCCTATTACTGCACTCCCACCGCCGCTTGACCGTCCGGCAACCAAAGGCGGGGGTTGCCGGCAACTTCCTCTTGTCCGGCACGGCCATGCCTACCAAGATCGATGCACTCCACATCACATTCTGGGGTCACTCGGACATTAACGAGGAAAAGATCAAACAAATCAAAGTAGAAACGATCACAAGAAAGAGATGTCAACTTGAGGTCTGAATGTGGTCAAGCCGGAGCTCAGCCCCGGTCGGCGGTCAACAGGGCAAGGCTGGGTGGCTGATTGAAAGTGAGATAACACCCTTTCACCATATCAGTGGACAAGATCTAACAACTCACATCACCTAATGGTGGTTATTGGTCACTCAGGAAAGATGAATCGCCACTCAAGAAATAGATTTCCCTCACCGCGGGCTGATGATGATCAAGGCACCCGGTTTCTAGGAGTCTACTGGGTGTCAGTCAGATCGATAAGGCATCACATGGATGAAACTTAATGGACTCGATTGCAGCGCCAGCAATCACTGCATAACTGCAGGCGGCAGCCAAGAATAAGCTATGAGGATGATGTAACTCACAATCTACTGCTCGGCTTGAATTCGTCTGAGCAACTCCGGATGGCACCTGGCTATAAGTACTACTCGGGCATCGCTATCGGAGCAGCTTACATATTTTCATCAATGCGACCCTTACCCTCTTCCGGTAACCGACATCGTCCATCCATGCGACGGTCGGAGAAAAGCCTTGCAAAATCAAGCACCAGAGCTGATGGTCTCTACTCTGGGAGATAAATTCCAGGGGCGTCCAGTGAGGCGGACCCCAATTATTTCATTCAAACTTGCTCTTCAATCATTCATCCTTATTGCCAACTGCATTGTATCCCGAACAATTTCGAACAAAACCACCCTCAGACTCTTGTCTGTTGTTACATTCATTCTTATCATTGGCATTTTTGCCCTATACATACAATCTTTAGCGTCATCTCTCTTTTTACTCAACCCCCATCGACACATCCAAACCAAAGACATAAAAGGATACGAATACTCTCTTTTCATTCAAATTGGTGATATATTATCAACAACAAAAACCATACATTCATTGGGATTTTATTCTTTCCAGTTAACTTATAATTTGATCACCAAACTCGGGGTTCTGATCCCTCAAACCTATACTGGGCTTACAAGATGAGGTCGCTATTTCTGGTGATCATTTATACCCATGGGTGTCTCTCAATACCAATGGAAGCAATAGGACTGATGGGAGTGTTCAAGACCGCGCGCCCGTTCGAGGGAGCACCTGAGATGGCAAAATCTGCTCCCTTAGCAGGTGTAACCGTTCCCGATCAACGGATAATCCCCACTCAATCCGACCAAGCAAGAAAAGCTCTGAGCATGCATACTGAAGAATTCCGACCAACTTCAACTTTTCCTAGAACTGGCCCGGAACCAGAAGCCCAAGATGCCAAGCTTCCAAAGAATTTCAACCCTCAAGATCTTGGAACTCCTTCCTCTGTTCATACCCCTGCACTTATCCCCAAGATTGCTGCTGAAGATACGAAGACTCGAGGCGGAGTAGGACTTTCACCTGTCCGCGTTTGGGAGGCGCTTGTTGGTCCAAAGGGCATTTCAGACCCGCTTATACGCAAGGTAGCCACAAAATATTCGAATTTCATGCAAAGATATCCTGGATCACTCATTAAAAGCAGAGGTGATGTAGGAAAAAGTTTGGCAATCTATCTAGACGAAAAACATGCCAACATAAATCCTCTCCTTGTTGAGAAATATTTCGATGGCATCTCCGGGGGCCGACATATCATCACATGCGATCGTGAAAACCAGTCCAAAGATCAAAGAATTACGGAACCATGTCAACTACGGAATCCTTCGACGCTTCTTCTTAGATAGACTAAAACAATCGGAGATAGAGAGGAGGGAAAGTGTCCTTTCCTTGCAAGATAAACAGGTCTCTATTGTGAAAGATTGGGACGCGGAAATTGTGACGATCAGCAAGGAGCAAGGTGTTGACAGTAAAGAGATAAGGAGAGCTGGAGAGCTACTAGGAGTAACTGAATATTTCCCTTCATTCAAAGATGGCAAACAATTAAAGAATCTACGGCAAGTCAATAAATTACAAAAAGAAACCCCAAAGGTGTTCAGAGCTTTGGAGGACTATTTGGGACATGATGAACTCAATTCTCGGATTCAACTCATGAGAACTATCAGTACGATGAAGTATCAGGGTATCACTTCAGAGGAAATTTCAGGATGGCTAGAACAAGGCTTGGATGTACAAAGGATGTTGAAGATAACAGAAATGCTTCATAGAGTCCGAACTAATCAGGTCAAAGGAATCCTATCGGATGTGATGGGAAAGGAGGAATTAGCCATGAATTCAATTTTTCGGCCTGTTTCACCAAAGATCCCCTGGTTTCAAAGCCTTGAGCGTCATAAACTTTTGGAGAGCTTAAGTTCAGATCCAAAGTTAAAAGAACTTTATTTTAATCTAGAGGTTTATGTTGAAGAACATTCCAAACAACTTGATACTCTTTCTCATCCCGAATCAGTCATAGATCAACACATCCGAGCTGCTCTTAGAGGCAATCCTGATAAAAAAAATCTAGCTTCTCAGTTACGTAGTCCTTATAATGCAAAAAAATCCACCGAGTTGCCTAGAACAGAAGTTAGAAAGGTCACCTATATTGATGGATGAAGATCATCAAGTTCTCAGTAAAATAAAATATCATTTGTTTCTTTTTTTGCTTTCAAGTGGTATGTCACTCATGAAACTAGGCACCACAATCTTGTATTTTCTGGCCACTTATGACATGTTTTTTATTTTCAAATATCCTCAAGTTAGAACACACAATCTCCTTTGCATTCAAATCCAATTCAAAACAGTGAAATCAAGTTTTTCTTTCCTGATCATTAAGATTCCAAGAAAATTGACTTGATTAATCTTCAATTCACCTATATTCAATCTCAGATCCAGCAACTGGAGCTTTATTTGGACAATCTGAATTTTAATGTTTTTCCCAGATTAATGAAAATGATGGATGTGCAATGTTTTTATATGTGGTGAATCTCATAATGAACTTGATTAGTTATGTGATGTTTGAATAATGTCAGACACTGAGACACTAGCCCAGGTGTCTACAATAGAATGTAACCCCCTTGGGCTACATAACAATTATTATTATATGTAATCTTTAAAGTTGATAATTATAAAGTAGTGTTATTTCTTTTTACGTGTATTTTTTATGTTAATAATTATTCTGTAAATTAATAAAGATTCATCTCTTTATTAATTTACCTCTTCCATGAAAATTATAATCAAGTTGAAAAGGATAATTATCTCCTGGGTGTATCCAAGAGATGATTATCCTATTTACCTCTCTTGTGTGTATGATTATTATGTTTATCTCTCTTATGTGTATTTTCTGAAACAAAGGATATTCAGCACATGTACATTTAGCATGCTCTGAATATCCTGACACTTTCCCCCAAGGAAAAGTGTACCAATAAGGGGACTGCACCGGTCCCAGCAGCAGTTTGACCCCTGCTCTGTAATATTTAAGAGGATGGCTCTCCCCCTGAGATTCATCCCCCAGACACTATTACCATACAAACCCAATCACCTTACTAGATATTAAAATACTAATAAATAGTGAGCGGGGTTTTTTACAATAGTCTTTAACATATTAATTACTCTTTCCTCTATCCTCATTACTAGCCTTATAAGTTACTTATTTAACTTATAAGACTAGTACCAACCCTTTTCTCTTATATTAACTGAGCTCTGGCACTGTGAAGCTCATTCCACAGCTGTCCCTTATTTTTATAAGGAGCCAGTCCCTCCACTGTAACTCTGTTGAGTTGGACTTATTTCCACTGGCCCTCTTGGCTATAGTGTGACCCAAAAACCCTATCAACTCCTGGTCACATAAGAGACCAGAGCTGACAAATAAGGTAATATTATCATGGTTGTGACAACAGTGGGCCGCTACACTAACCGTAGCGGTTAGTGTAGCGTAACGCAGCGGAATTCCCGTTAGCGTTAAGCGTAGTGTAGCGGAATTCCGCCACGACACCGCTAACGCTACGCGTGTGGGCCACAAAAAAGGGCCCACTACGCTGCGCTACATCCGTTTTTAGCGGTTTTTAGCCGCTTTTTCCGCTAAAAGCGCTGTAGCGCAGCGTAGCGTAGCGAAAATGGGCTACAAAAGCGCTAACACTACAAAAATTTGGCGCAAAAAAAGCGCCACTACACTACGCTTTTTGGGCCAAAAGCGTAGCGTAGCGGCCCACCGCTGGTTGTGAAAGTATAATGCATGTATGTACTAGCATTTGTATATTTCAGAATGAAATGAAGGGATGGAGATCTATTGGACAATGATGACTCTTTGCCTAGCAATTACATCATTCTCAGATGTAAATATGCTTTATGTTTAGACCTAGTTGTTTACTTTCCTAGTGGGATATCTATTCACATCAGTGTGCAAGTCTTTTCTTCTTCAACAGTCCTCTCATTATTCTTGAATTGAATTCATCAGTGAGAATATTATCATTCTTTCACAATGATTGCATGTTTTTCTTTCTCCACAATCAACTGTATACTTGAACCTTTGGCCAAAAGGAATTGGTATGGCATCCTGCTTTTTGGGCTGCTGATGTACCACACTTCTACAGTGACACAACCTGTGTGAATGTATGCAGGTTTTGGGGAACCAGACCCAAGTGCTCTTTAGACAAAAAATAAAACACATGCAGAAGTTGAGTAAAAAATTAAATTGTGGCAATTGAGAAACGTCATTGCCCAAATTTTGACATCTGGGTGAAAAAATCAAATCTCATAGCCCAATTGACAGGTTTGGTAAGTACAATGTGGATTTAATTGCATCTATGCAAGTGTTTGCTCCATAGCCATAAAATTTAGATGAAACTGTCAATGTTTGAAGTGAGCCCACCTCAGCCTGTGGTGAATTGGTTTGTTTGTTTGTTAAAAGTCAGAAAGCTTTACCATAGCATTCTCAGCCTGCTTTGAGAGTACTTCACTTATGTATTTATTCCTGTTAGAAATAACTCTTGACTCATGCTGAAGAATCATCAGTAAGCCTTTCAATGACATATCCTCTTCTCTGTTACCAGTTACAATTCCTCACAAGAATTACCAGTATCACCTAGAGGTTTAGAGAACCTGGCACTTCAGTCTCAGGAAGCTCACGTGAGTCACAGAACCTTTCACCCAAGCATCAAAATCATCCAACTGACTCAGATACACCTTTGATTTATTGCAAAAATCAGTCTACCTCTACAACACTACGATTGATGCATTTTGTGGTTCGTGATGAATGATGTAACTAGTTATCTTCTGGGAAATTATGTCGTCAAGTTAGTAGCTTGAAAGAAAAGTTCACAAATTGCTCAGATTGTCTATAATTTTTAGTTTTGATCTGGAAAGACTCCATGAGGAGGCATCACTAGTCAGGTAATGCAACTTGATGATCAAAGCTACCCTCGGACGGGGTCGTTATATTTGGCAAAAGTCTCTTCGAGGAAGTCGCGCAGCGACCGGGACGGGGTACGTCACATTAAAAAAGTTTAACATAAAACCTCAAACCGGTGCTCTGTAACAGGTATCGCTACTAGCGATGGCGCACAAGACATTAATTCTTGCACTGAACCTGCACACCTTGACTAGACACCATTCATGACTCAGATCCCTTGCCTCCTTAAATACTTTTCTTCCCCTTTTGTCTTCATCCATACACTCGAATTCAAACACATTGTCATTTGCACCACCCCTATTTTTCTTATTTTCGACGCATTTGCATCTCCCGTTATTCCTGCTGCTCCTCGATTAGGCATTCTTCCTTCTTAATTCTGCGCCTCATGCAATCTTTAGCCGGTTTGCATTTGGCATTTCTCCATGATCCACGACCTATCCCGTCGACGTACCTCAATCCCTTTTTTGTTGACATTCCACCCCTAATCCATTCATTTGCCGGCTCACGCTTGGCACCCTGTTTTTAATCCTCTTTCTTGTCCGCGTTTGAACTGTTTCTATCACTGCTCCTCCAGGAATTCTCCATGATTTATGACTTAATCCGTCCACACGCCTTCATTTCCTATCCTTTTCTTAAAGTCTGTCAAAATGCATCAATCTCTTATTGCTCCCAATCATGTCAAGTGTCCGCTTTGCTTTACCTGTTTTTGTTGAAAATCCTCCCCTAATGCATCCAACTCCCGATCCAGTTCCTATGATCTCTTCTCCAATCTAATATTCTCATACATTCACCGGCCAATTTTTTTCCCTACATTCAAGAACCTATTCTTGTCAATGATGATGGCACCATCACTTTCATCTTCACTGACGGCCAAGTTCCCAACTCTCATCGCCTCAACTCTATGGAATTACCTCAATATTCTGTAACAGCCAGACCTATGAATCTTGCTCTACTCACTACCGGCCCATGGCTCACCTTTTATGGCACTGTATCACATCTTTCTGCCAAGGGTCCAATACAAGTCCATGTGCATGCCTCCTACTGGCAACCTATCCTCAAATCCATGGACACATTCACATCCTTTCACATCATTCCAAAATTCTCGCGGAAGCGATAACGCCTTTGCCTGTAAGTCGATCACCCCCATTTCCTCTTCATATCTCTCTTCAATGCCCTAATTTTAACTTCTGCTTGGGCATATTTCGGGATAAGACCTTATTGCAGGTAATTTGACCTGGCTTCATTGCAATGTACTCATCCAATATTGAACCTTTCCAGAAACAGGACAAAATTTCGAAAGCAGGGAGTCGGATGAATATTGTGACTTGACAATCAGTCTCAAGCTCTTGAATAGAGCACAGCAGGAGTTCTTTAATGAAGTATACCGTATTCCACGACTGTATTACTTGGATGGGCCCGGTGGAACTGGCAAAACATTCGTTTTGAATTGTATAATAGGCGCGTTCAAGGTTCAAAGCAAGAAAACTTTAGAAGTCGCTTCAACGGGGGTCTCAGCTTTGTTACTTGGAGGGCAGGACAGCGCATTCGGGTTCCAAGATTCCGGTGAAGTTTTCGAGCAAATCCTTTTGCAATTTCAGTAGCAAGGATAGAGTTGGAAGAAAACTATTTGAAGCAGATCTCATTGTCTGGGATGAGGCAGTGGCCATGCACAAAGATGCTATTGAAACGGTCGATCAAAGTTTACAAGATTTAATGAAGAGTTCAGCGTGTTTTGGAGGAAAAACCGTGATCTTTGGGGGAGACTTCAGGCAGACTTTACCAGTAGTTAAGCCTGGGGTTTATCCAAGATCTGAACACGCTACTTTAAGATCTTCAAAGTTCAGCTTGAAGGACAATGTTCGTCTTGGTATCAGCTTAAATTCCAGGGACAACAAACATAACATAAATTTTGCCAAAGAATTGTTAGAAATAGGCAAATGAATGAGCCAGACTCAGTTAGCACAAAAAATTGGACTTAAAAAAATAGAAGTCAATTTCCAAAAGAGAGCTAAACTATGCTTTAAACTGGCCATAACTCACGCATACAAGGTGTTGAATCAGAGGTCGAATCAAGATTACACATTGTATGCCAGGTACTTGGGCGAAAGGGTGATTCTAACTACTTTGAAAGAGATGCAGCAAAATTGAATTGGGCAATGGTTTCCAATCTCAAGTCTCAAGGCATCATTTTGATTTTGTTAGACAAAGCTGAAGGCACAATCCCGTGTGAGGCCCTGAACAAGATAGATTTTGCAGGCTTTCCGCCTCATGAATTAGAGCTTAAGGTCAGAACACCTTTAGTTCAAGGTCACTGCAACGGAACCAGGATAGTTGTTGAGGGCCTCAATCCAAAAGCAACCAAAGGGAGAATTCTCACAGGCCCATTCAGGGACAAGGTAGTGCTTGTCCCAAAGATTACTCTTCTTCATGAAGGAGATTCATTGGTAAAATTTTCTTCTTATAAATACCAATTCCCTGTGGCTTTAGCTTTCACTATGACCATCAACAAATGCCAGGGCCAAAGTATGAATTATGTGGTTTTAGTCTTAGAAAATCAAGTATTTGCCCATGGTCAATTGTATCTGGGACTATTGCGATTTAGGCATGTCAAAAATCTTTTGGTTACACAGGTATCAGGTGATGGCAAAGTAGTCAATGTGGTGAATAAGATATGATTTAGAGGAGATGAAGATCAGATGGAAGAATAGGTTGATAGAAGATGGATAGCAAATAGTGGATCTAGATAAATTTGACATTAAATTTATTTTTAAGTTATTTGAAATATAATTAAGTAATTGATAGAATAATTAGACAAAATGTGTTGGCGGCGTAGCCGCCTCTAGACACTAGTCTTCCTTTATGTTGTAAACCTTGCAGCAAAGGATGGTCAACGATCCGTGCCAGGCGAAGTTCATGAAGCCACTGTCACCCTTCGCGGTGTTATAGACAAAAGAGATTTAACACCCATTCGGCACATTTCCAATCTGACTCACGTTCAACCAAAAAAGATTGTGATATCTCTGCATGAAGCTGTGAAGCTTGGAGGAGACTGATGAGATGGGTTGTAGTTACCACTCCGCTGTGACCAATGTCGAGCTTTTCCAACTGCCTCAAGGAGACATATCTGTTCATCGAGCACCTGGTGGCACATCGCGAAAAAGGGTGGGCAAGTACATCAAAGCACGCCCATCCTTTTTCACGTTGTGCTTTATGATGCTCGAGGAACTTGTTCGCCCGGCGACCGATAGGGCCCAGGAGTCATCAAGTCTGCCTTGTATCCAGGCATTGAAACTCGGCGAGGTCGGGGGTCTTCAACCCTGATAACTCCTGAATCCGAGATGGACCTAACTCCCGGCATCGGCCATGCGTACGACTGCCAGGAGAAGGTTTGCATGAAAAGGTTTGGACCACCAAGCTTCTCGGGATATAAAACACCCCCAGGATGCACGAGAGCTTACTTCAACTTCCATTCCTCAGGAAAAAACTTTTATTGTTTTTAACATACCAAAGCACTTAGAACACTTCTTATAAACTGGGCTGCTGCTACATTCATTGATACATACATCCCTTGATCAAGTCATTCGCTGATAATCAAATCATTCGTTAATAACTTCATTCAGTTTACATAACATACAGAGTTTTGATTTCATTATACCCCAACGAGTTGCATTAGCTCATCGCTAGGTTTATTCTTACGAATCCGGGTCTGCAGAAAATTAGATATTATAAGTTCAAATATCAAGGGATATCAAGAAACCCAATCCATTCATTCTTAGTCACTCGACGCCGAGGCTCATTCATTCGGACTTGGTATACTTTAAATCTTTCTGAATCATTCAAGCGGTTGGACTATAAGAATCGATCATGAGGTCCCTCTTTCTCTTGATTATCATTTCCCATGTTCATCTTCATCACTCTCTTCCGATGCCAATGCAACAAAGTCTAGAGTTCGCCGCGGACGCATCACGGGCGGGGGCGTCTTTCCACACGCCCCATATAAACCCAGCGGAGCCTCTGACAGCAGCAGCTCGAGATGGAAACCAACCACTCGATCTCTCAAGACATACGTTTGGAACTGGAAAACCGGGTGACAAGCCCACAGAAGCAAATCAACCTGCGTGGTACACCCGAGAAGGGATGAAGAATAAGGCCCAGGGATGGTCAGATAAAATTTCTTCACCGTGGATGATTCGTACGAAGGAATATGTGGGAATAAGCCATCCAATAACTTCAATAGGTGAAAACGCCAAAGATATAGACGCTTGGTTAATAGAAAAAAACATCAAAATGGACAGGACAATCGTTAGGAGTTTCTACACAAGCCTCTCCGCTGACGAACGATCAGGAGCCGCAGAGGTCAAATACGTCAAAGAAGTTGATGATTTGATCAGGCATGGCGGGTCGGACAAAGATACTAAAAATTTATTCGAATACTTTGAGAAGAGCCTAGGTAAGGAGGAATTCGCGAGAAGGAAAGACGTTCTCCTGTGGCAAGCCAACGAACTTGAGCGCATCACGAAATGGAACCGAGCCCTTCCGTCTATGGCTAAATTCTCTGGCGTGACCCAAGAAAATATGAAGGAGTGGGGAAAGGCAATAGGAATGGGCGAATATTTTCCTGCTTTCAAACCTGTCGTCGGGAAACCCAGTAACGCAAAATATCTCGCGGCGTTTAGAGAGCTTGGCGCAGCTGGGGAAATTGAACGTGAATTGGGAACGGCACAAGTACAGCGCCGAATTGCGATAATGGAAGCTATGGATCGCCAATTTTGGGATCCCACACTCTTGAGAGATCTTGATGCAAGACTTGTGACGGAATGGCAAGAACAAAATCTCGATGTGCCAAGGATGTTGGCTACTTTGGATATCACTCGGTTTGTGGCCAAGCAAGGACGTAGCGTCAACTGGCGCAACAACCCCAAAGCGCTTGACTTGGTGTACTGGGCATTCCAACCAATTGCTGAGGAGGCAAGTAACGTGGCAAGGGGTCGTGTTCAAACGGGGATAACCCTTGAAGATCAACGAATCATCAAGTTTTTTGATGATGATCCTGAGGCAAAACGGATGTACGAATCACTGAAGACCGATGTACACATAGGGCTGATATACCCCAAGTCGCCCCAAGTGGAGAATTTGGTCCAGACGACGTCGAATACGATCGCCAAAAATCGGTGGACTGGACTTTTGACTAACCTCTGGAGTTGGCTCAAAAAAGTATTTGGGAAGAGACGCAACAATCCAGAACTACTAACTATGACAGCAGATCCACCAAAAGGCGCACCGTTAACACGATCTAAAAGCAGCCCTAATTGAGACCAATTGATGAAGAACAATGTTTAAAAGAAATCCAATCCATGTTATGTGTGTAAGGTTTTTTCCAGAACCAATGTACATACACAGGTAGACCTTACTTGAATTTGAGACAGAAAAAAAGACAATTAGGCTAAATAACCATCTGGTGATAAAACAAAAAATACATATACTAATCTTGAGAGTTTCTTTGTTTTGCATGGTTCTTGACAATATGAATTACAAGTATTGTGAATTGATGTTTTTTGTTCAAGAAAAAAAAGTTAAACCACAGCTTGCCACATACTTTCCATAAAAGCAAAAGCAAGTTTTCACAGTTTTGATTTGTTTATGGTTTCCTGGTGATAAAAAATATGATTAAGAACAAACCCTGATGAAATTATCCCTCAACAGATAATTTCTGGATTTTGTTCTTTCTACTAGGATCTCACAAAATTTTATTGGCATTTACATATTCAAATTTGAGAGTTTTTCTGATTTTACTGAAGCCATATCTGAGAAAAAAATAGAATAATATGGAGTCCCACAATTAAGCAAGGGAATCAGTGATGGTACAATGAAATGATACAGTATCTGCCGAACTTATCGCAAGTCTCCAGCTGCGGCGGGCGCATCTGGCAGCGTAGCGCTGGCCAGGCGGTTCCCAAAGGGAACTCCCTGCAGGGGAGACTTGGGCCAGAGGTCGACAAACTCAGGTGCTGAGTTTCTGGTGTTTTGGTGGGAGCGTCACAAGATTTGATATCATGACGCTCCCTCAAAACTTTTTTGATGTTTGGTCTCGAATTTTTCAAGACCTGCCTGATCTTATTGATCAGGCCAAATTTCAAAATTTTAAAATCACAAAAGTAATCAATATTGATTTTCTAAAATCAACGTTTGAACTTTTTTTACGCTCACATAAGCAGCTTAATGAACTCGCGCACACCAAAAAAAACTCAACTTTTGTTGAAAAGTTGTCATTTTCAAAAATAACTATATCAAAATTGACAAAATTAAAAAATAATGTGAGGAGAGGGAAACATTTACAAGAAGCAGGCCCTCCTTGGTCCACAAGGAAATTAGATAATAGTGGAAGAGGAAGAGCATAGGTAGAAAAATGCACAAAAAACTGGCTCTTAAGCCCAAATTTGAAAACTCAGCACGCAGGGATTGCCGCATCTGTCTTAGGCCTCCACTGGCGTGGACAGCTCCGCTGCTCGCTCCCGCTCCCGCCGTGGAGGCCTAGTTAGGCTTGAGTATCTGCCATGTAACACTCCCAATGGAAAAAATTATCTGACCAATGCACTTTTATTTGCGAGGAGATGCAACAAATTTGGTTTTTGGCCATGCAGCTTTGTAGAATTCTCCATGATACACACAGCGTATTTTATCTGTTACATTGTTTCAGGGATCCAATGAAGTTGACATCAGCTGAAAAAAGGCTTGAATAGAAAAAAACAGGTTTTCCACACCTACATTGGTTATAGCTTAAGACAAGCCCCTCCTCAATCAACTTTCAAAGCAATCCTGCAAAGGAGGGGCTTGGGAGTAAAGTGAGAATACATGTACTTCTGACAAAGTGAAATACACTGTATATGCCAATACAATACATATATTGGAATCGTTGCACTGTTGCCAGTAGACTAGTTATAGACATGCTCAATGAAATAATAATCAATCCAATTGCAATTCAAATCACTACAGGATGCCTGATTCATCCTATTTGTGAGCCTGAGCCTCTTATGTGGCAACAGGACACAAGAGTGTAGGGGAAACTACTGGTTGGATTTTGAAGAGGAAGAGAAATACAACCAGCAGTAAGAGAAAGAAAGAGAAAGAAAGGGAAATAGAAATAGAAAGAAAGAAAGAAAGAAAGAAAGAAAGAAAGAAAGAAAGAAAGAAAGAAAGAAAGAAAGAAAGAAAGAAAGAAAGAAAGAAAGAAAGAAAGAAAGAAAGAAAGAAAGAAAGAAAGAAAGAAAGAAAGAAAGAAAGAAAGAAAGAAAGAAAGAAAGAAAGAAAGAAAGAAAGAAAGAAAGAAAGAAAGAAAGAAAGAAAGAAAGAAAGAAAGAAAGAAAGAAAGAAAGAAAGAAAGAAAGAAAGAAAGAAAGAACTATAGTTTTTTTTTTTTTTATTTTTATTTGATTGAATCTGCAGTCTTACTTTCCTCTTGTAGGATGGCTGATAAGCTGTCAAATAATAGCCTCTTCTACAAAGGAAACTGTAGAAGGTTTTAGTTTGAATATGTTCAGAACTAACCATAATTTTTTAGATCTATGATCAAGGCTCTTTAAAGGGAAACCTATGTGGTTTTCAGTTTTACCACCAAACAATGAAATGAAGAGTAGAATTGATTTAAGTTTAAGAGAGAGAGTGAGTTAGAGAGAAAGATATGGTTGAAGAACCATAGGTGAGACTGAGATATCAGAGCAACAGAGAAAATCAAGCAACAAGAAAGAGTACTAACTGTCAGAGTCCTAGGACGACCACGTGGAGGTAAAACTGGGAGTTGGTATCCTTTCGACAAGTTAAGCGCCAAGCAGTGTAAGACTCAAAAGTTGTTGTGAAACCCTTTTGCTGAATTGAGAAGGGGATGATGGAGGTGCAAACTCTGCCCTTCTATACTATCAGAAACAAGACACCCAAGCTTAGCTTGGAAAGTTTTAATAACGTGATAGGATTGGTTGGTTCCGGTAAAAACTTTGTTTGATGAAAAGTAAAGGTTGAATATATAAGTGCTGATAAAAGAAACTGTTATGTTATGTAACAGGTGAAAGGCTTATATAAGGTTTTGTAATAATTTGTGCTGTAACTTGCTGAGTGATCGAGTGACTAATGAGTAGATGAGTGAATGTGAACTGATAATTGTGTACTGTGAACTGAGGAGACAACAAATGGGGGGAAGAGAGCCTCCTTTTATAGACAAATGTGAGGGAATTTAGCTCCAGGGCAGACAAGAAAGAGTGATTTTAGCTGGCCAGTAGGTACAAATGAGTGAATTTAGCTAGTCTGATCATGCGAGTGAGGGAAATTAACTAGTGAGGCTGTGTACAATTAATGTCAAAGGCTGTGCTGCAGTGCGTAAATAATGTGAGAAAGTGTCAAATGAGGCAATAAATTGTGGGAAAAATTCAGCTGTTGTCATAAATGAGGTGAGAAAATTAATAAACTGTGGGAAAAGTAATTCAATCAAGACTGCGCAGCCTGCAAAGGCACAAAAATGTATATAAAGAAAAAAAACCTGAAATTTTTACATATTAAATTACCACAGCAGTAATGGGGTTGGTTGGTTTTTTGGTGGTTCTGGTTCAAAGTGAGTCTGAAAAACATTGAAGATCCTGAAAATGCGAACTTAGAATCCTCTGACATGATTTTCAGAGTTGGATTATGTAATAATTACATGTACTTGTGGTAGAGGGGAGCAGTAATCCTTGAGTAGCAGAACTTAGACAAGTACGGTGAAGTAAAGCAAAGTGTGTGAAGGAGTAGAGTAAGATAAAAGTGGTCAGTGGTGACTAGGGGTTAATTTAGCTGGGAAATCTATATCTGAGGTCAGATATAGAAAATATCTTATGAGTAAAAAGTTATGATAATATTGTAGTAGGAAAAAGGTGGTAAAAGCAGTCTTTTGGCCAGCTACACTGGCTCTAAGGCTAACACTATTAGAGCTGGGCCATATACAACATGTCCTGTATCTTATTCCTCTGAGTCCACATTGAATCCCCAGGAGGTGGAGGGGTCAGGTTGTGTTCAGAGACCCGTGGGAGTTCTCCAAAAGCCAATTCATGCTGTGACTGATAGTCCCAACCTTGCAAGTAGAAGCAGCCTGTCCTGTTGAGTAGAAGTAGATTGTGCAGAATCATACACGCAATCATCATATTCCACGCCCAAACCGGGTTAGCCCTCTGAGCAGTGAGGAGGATCCAGAATCTGTTTTTGAGTCAACCAAACACCTGTTTGACTACAATCCTTGTGGCTGATTGTATATAATTGAAATAGCTGTTTTCCGGTGGGATAGAAGGGTATGAGACGAGTACATTAACATCTGATGGGTAACCTGGATCACCAATGAGATGCAAGCCCCTTGGTATCATTATTGGCTGGCCCAAGGCTTGGTTGAGACTAACCCTCAGATTGGACCAGAGGAACACCCTGGTATCATGAATCAACCCAGCACCCCCTCCAAACACCTGCCACCATTGTTACGGGCCAGAGATGGTCATCTTTGTGGCAGGACCGTGCTGATTTTTCTCTGTGAAAGGCAACTCTGCAGCCTTTCCCCAAAGAGAGACTTGCAATCAAGTCTGTACACACAACCTGTTAATGTTGACCTATCATCTTAACACTCCAACATCGCCTGTAAACTGCACCTCAGAAACTCTCAAAATCATAGGTTCTTGACTCACAATCACCGGCTCTTCTAGGATCCTACGTGCTTCTTGTCAACAACACTTCTAGGAACAATTGTCTCCGTTGTGGTATACCGTAAGGGTAGCCATCTGGCCCATTTAAAAATTTTACAGTTTTTTCTTTTATTAAAAAGGGCCTTAATAAAAAAACCTGCATTTTCCGCGTTTTGACGCGCTTTCGCTGCGGCACAGCACACGCGCAATCCGTGTTTAAACCCGCTTTTTTAATTAATTTATTTTTGCCATTAATTTTAACTTTTTTTTAAGTTTTTAAAATTGTTTCCTAGGTGAAAAAATGCGTAGAATTTAATGGTGAAGTCCATTTTCCAATAAAATGACTTTTGATTATTAATTTTTTTTTTCCACTTATTTTTCAATTAATTGTTTACATACATGTTTCTACCTCATTTTTTATGATTTTTTGAAATTTTAAATTTATTTCCTAGGTTTAAATGTGTGTAGAATTTGATGGTGTAAGCCAATTTTTTTAAAACTCAACGGTTCATTTTTAATACTGAAATTTGACATTTTTTTCACTTAAATTTCTACAGCTTAATTTTCATTATTTTTTGACATTTTAAATTTATTTCCCACACTTTAAGACATGAGTAAAATGATGGTAATAACAATTTTTCCCCAAAATGAAAACTATACCTTGAATGCTGCATTTGACACCTTTTGTTTAATTAATCCTTCACGTTTTCGCTTAATTGTTTGCATACATGTGTGTACCTTATTTTCTATGCTTTTTTGAAATTTTGAAAGTTTTTCCTACATTTAAAAGTGTATAGAATTTAATGGTAATATTCAATTTCCATAAAACTCAATGGTTCATTCTGAATACTGTAATTAGTCATATTTTTCAATTGATTTTTAACAGCTTAATTTTCATTATTTTTTGACATTTTAAATTTGTTTCCTACACTTTCAGACATGGTCAACATGATGGGAATGATCAATTTGCATCGAAATAAAAACTGTACAGTGGCGCGCAGCATTGTACTGTACAAGGTTTTGTGATGTCCGAAAGGTTGGGGCCCAAAACTTGGATTTTTTTTGTGATTTTCACCTGTTTTTGGGGGGTTGAGATGTGAATCCAGTGTCACAGCTGCTGTAATTGACCTGTGAAATACACTTGTAAGCTCATGTTTATGGGTTTTGACTGACAGTTGGCCATGTGAGTATGGGATTAGGATACCTCCCTAACCCATAGGTATGTACTAAGACCCCCATACAGGACCTATGTCCGAATGGTCGAGTGAAAAAAAAAGTTTTTTTTTTTGGCTGGACCAAATTTTTTGCAACTTTAGATTTGGAATCTACACACCCTTTAGACTCCAAAAACACACTTATTACAAGTGCTGGACCCCCATCGGGGTCGGGGTTTAACCCCGCGCGACCAGAAAAGTTTTGCGGGCAGCCTTGTACAGTGCAATGCCGCGCGCCACTGTATCTTGAATAATGCCTTTGACGTATTTTTTGAATTAATTCTTACACGCTTAATTACCCTTATTTTTTGGAATTTTAAGCTCATTTCCTACACTTTGAAAGGTTTCAAAATTGATGGCTTTATCCATTTTGCATTCAAATACAATTTGTATACAGTACAAATTATGCAAGAAATGGGGTACACTCACGTATTATAATTGAATTTGAAGCTTGTATTTTTATGGAAATTGGAATTCACCATTCAATTCTGCACATCTTTAAATGTAGGAAATGAATTTCAAATTTTGAAAAATGATTAAAATCCAGCTGGTAAAAACCAATCAAAAAAACATTAAAAAAAATGTCCAACACAGTATTCAATAACAGTCTTTGGTTTTTATGCAAAATTGTTATTACCATCATTTTACTCATGTCTTAAAGTGTGGGAAATAAATTTAAAATGTCAAAAAATAATGAAAATTAAGCTGTAGAAATTTAAGTGAAAAAAATGTCAAATTTCAGTATTAAAAATGAACCGTTGAGTTTTAAAAAATTTGGCTTACACCATCAAATTCTACACGTATTGAAAACTAGGAAATAAATTTAAAATTTCAAAAGGGCGTTAATAAAAACACGTGGTAAATCCGCGTTTACACGCGGTTTCTGCTGCGCGCAGCACACACGGTTTTTTATTTAATTTTTTATGGCTTATTTTTCGAGTTTTTTTGAATTTTTAAAATTGTTTCCTACACTATAAGAGCATCCACCCTCGTCTCTGTAAACCTGCTCGGTAAGCGGGATTTACTCAACTTGAATCGATAGTTTCACCCAACGCTGGGCCGCTACGCTAAAGGGCCACTTAGCGTTAGCGTAGCGGCGCAAAAACAGGCCCTTTTTTCTGTAGTGTTAGCGTGCCGCTACCGCCGCTACGCTACGCTACGCTGTAGCCCCGCTAACAGGCGGCATGTTTTTGGGTAGTGTTAGCGCATTGCTACAGCCGCTACGCTGCGTTACGCTGCGCTACAGCGCTTTTAGCGGCAAAAAAGGCAAAAAACCCGCTAAAAAGCCCTGTAGCGCGGCGTAGCGGGCACTTTTTTGTGCCCTGAGCGCGTAGCGTTAGCGCAATTCCGACTTTCTGCGCTAACGCTACGCTAACAGCTAACACAGTTTTGTGCCCTTTGCGCGTAGCGTTAGCGAAGAAAGGTGGATTTTTCGCTAACGCTACGCTACAAAGTAGCGCATTTCCGCTGCGCTACGCCACGCTAACGCTACGGTTAGCGTAGCTGGCCCAGCGTTGTTTCACCCTCGCGCACTCTTTAGCTAGCTATTCACTCGGTAAGTCGGTAAGGATTCGTAAAGTTACGAATGCCTACCGAGCCTCTTTAAGCTCAACTTGAGGAGAGGCTACATAGCTGGTCCCGATCAACCACCCTCCCATCCAGAAAAAAAAACTATGGCGCTCAATGACCGTCATTAAGGGAACTACACTTCAACCGGTGACCAACATACCGATTTGACTTCTTATTAAGACTGCGATCACTTTGTAGCCTTCATCATCCAGGATCACATTCTGATGAGCCTGCAACTCATTGCCAACCAGGATTTCCCAGATCAATACACTCTTATCCCAAGAGCAGGTTGCCAACAGATTTCCGTTCCGGTTCCATGCAACTCCTTTGACTTCGCTCTCATGCCCTTTGAGTGACATCAAACACTCCCAGCTCTCTTTGACCTCTTCCTCACCATCAAGGATGGGCAATCTAGCTCTTCCTGGTTTGTCTTCCAAGTCCTGAGCATCGGCTTGATCGAGTCTTTGATCAAATTTGTGATTGGTCCAAATCAAAGCTGTCGAGTCAAATGAACCAGAGGCCAAGAGGTCACCCTTGGGAGACCAATTGATCAACCAAACGGTATGAGTATGGGCACTAGGGATCAAATCAATTTACTGGAATTCTAGTTTGTGTGAGAGTAGTAAAATCATCAAAAGGACTGACTGATATACCTTGTAAGAGTCATAGAGGAGTGGTGTGTAATCTCTTCAATGACTGGCTTGGTACCGGTCATTCATTGAGGGATGGACGCTGTACTTAGTATGTGAGATATAATATTTACAGAGCGCTACCTTAAATAGTGGACACGAGGGTTATGCAACCCTCTGCAAGTGAAACCAGCTGGCTAATGAGGGGCTTACAGACCGCTGAGGGCAGGTTTTTTCTGTAGCTAAGCAAAAGAGCTCTGTAGGGGTCCTTAGCTAGCTAATGATTTAACCCAACGGGGGTGGATGCTCTAAAAGGCGTAGAATTTAATGGTAAAACCCATTTTCCATAAAAATGAATTTTAATTATTAATTTTTTTTTCCACTTATTTTTCAATTAATTGTTTGCATACATGTATATACCTTATTTTTTATGCTTTTTTGAAATTTTAAAACTATTTCCTAGGTTTCAATGTGCGTAGAAATTTATGGTGCATTCCAATTTTTTTAAAACTCAACGGTTCATTTTTAAAACTGAAATTAGACACATTTTTTCACTTAAATTTCTACAGGTTAATTTTCATTCTTTTTTGACATTTTAAATTTTTTTCTTGCACTCTAAGACATTTAAAAAAATATGGTAACAATCATTTTGCATCAAAGTGAAAAATACATCTTGAATGCTGCATTTGACACCGTTTTTTTATTTAATTCTTCACTTTTTCACTTGATTGTTTGAATACATGCGTGTACCTTATTTTTTATGTTTTTATGTTTTTTTGAAATTTTAAATTTATTTCCTAGGGTTTAACACATGTAGAATTCAATGGTATAATTCAATTTTCATTAAACCCAACCGTTCATGCTGAATACTGTAATTAGCCATAATTTTCAATTGATTTTTAACAGCTTAATTTTCATTCTTTTTTGACATTTTAAATTCTTTTCCTACACTTTCAAACATTTATAAAATTATGGTAACTATGAATTTTCATCAAAATGAAAACTATGTCTTGAATAATGCCTTTGACGTGTTTCCCAAATTCATTCTTACATGCGCAACTATCCTTATTTTTTGGAATTTCAAGCTCATTTCCTACACTTTGAAAGGTTTAAAAATTGATGGCTGTATCCATTTTGCATTCAAATGAAATTTGTAGATGGTACAAATTATGCAAGAAACGGGGTACACTCATCTATTAAGATTGAAGCTTGTATTTTTGGTGAAATTGAACTTCACCATTCAATTCTACACATTTGTAAATGTAGGAAATAGATTTAAAATTTCAAAAAATTCTCAAAATTAAGCCGGTAAAAACCAATTAAAAAACCATTAAAAAAACCTGTCCAACACAGTATTCAGTAACAAGCGCTGATTTTTATGTAAAATTGTTGTTACCATCATTTTAATCATGTCTTGAAGTGTGGTAAATAAATTTAAAATGTCAAAAAATATTGAGAAATAACATGTAAAGAATTAATTGAAGAAAGTGTCTAGTGTCAGTATTAAAAGTGAACCATTGAGTTTTAAGAAAATTGGATGTTACCATTAAATTCTACACACTTTCAAATGTAGGAAAAAACTTTAAAATTTCAAAAAAGCATAAAAAATAAGGTACACACATGTATGCAAACAATTAAGTGAAAAAGTGAAGAATTAGTTGAAAAAATGGTGTCAAATGCAGTATTCAAGATGTAGTTTTCATTTTGATGCAAAATGAATTTTACCATAATTTTCTTCATGTCTTAGAGTGTAGGAAAAAAATTTAAAATGTCAAAAAAAAAGAAAATTAACCTGTAGAAATTTAAGTGAAAAAATATGTCTAATTTCAGTATTAAAAATGAACCGTTGAGTTTTAAAAAAATTGGATTGCACCATAAATTTCTACACACATTGAAACCTAGGAAATAGTTTTAAAATTTCAAAAAAGCATAAAAAATAAGGTATATACATGTATGCAAACAATTAATTGAAAAATAAGTGGAAAAAAATTAATAATTAAAATTCATTTTTATGGAAAATGGGTTTTACCATTAAATTCTACGCCTTTTATAGTGTAGGAAACAATTTTAAAAATTCAAAAAAACTTAAAAAATAAGCGGGAAACAATTAAATAAAAAACCGTGTGCAAATGCAGAATCTGCGTGTGCTGCGCGCAGCAGAAACCGTGTGTAAACGCGGATTTACCGCATGTTTTTATTAACGCCCTTTCAAAAAAGCATAAAAAATAAGGTACAAACATGTAAGCACACAATTAGTAGAAAAAATGAGTGGAAAAAAAAATTAATAATTAAAACTCATTTTTATGGAAACACCATTAAATTCTAAGCATTTTTTAATCTAGGAAACAATTTTAAAAACTTGAAAAAAATTAAAATTAATGGCAAAAATAAATTAATTAAAAAAGCGGGTTTCAACATGGATTGCGCGTGTGCTGTGCCGCAGCAAAAGCGCGTCAAAACGCGGAAAATGTGGGTTTTTTTATTAAGGCCCTATTACAAATTACATACTTTTTACACCTTTTTTCTCATATATACACTCACAAATCACCCAATATGGCTCAAGAACTGGATTCTATGGTCAATTTTACCCTTGGTCACCACTGGAGGCGTCACTGGAACTCAACTGGATTGGAAGCTACACCCTATGGACCATCAATACACTCAATTACACAACTCAACACCATGTTAACACTTCAACACTCAACAACACCAACAAATTACATCATTCACACTACACACATGCATGTTGCAGGACAACTACATACTCACATCATTATAGTACAGGTATACACACAACTACACTATTTTCTGACACTTGACATATGTAGCTTCTAGGCTGGTCCTGTTGCTATGTCACTTGTTAATAGAGATGGTCGGAGGGTATCCGTCGCGGATACCCGTTATCTGCTGGCGGATACCCGCCTGTGCCAACGGATACCCGCCAGCGGGTGCGGATGGCCCCTTTTCCGCAAATCGCTGGCGGGTATCCGGGTATCCCAAAGGATACCCGCGGCCGGAAGGGGAGATGGCCGGCTGGAAGGAAGCCCTCCCAGCCGGCGAGGTACTTGTACCTTGTCAACTGGAAGGACACCCTTCCAGCCAGCTTGTACCTCGTTGACCGGAAGGAAGCCCTTCCAGCCAGCTTGTACCTCGTCGACTGGAAGGGCTTCCTTCCAGCCGGTCCGTTGCCGGCCCTTTAGAGGGCGGGTATCCGAGAATTCCGCTGCGGCCGACGGATACCGGCTAGCGGGTGCGGGTGCGGACGCGGATGTGCAATTTTGCTGAAATTGCCATTGGATATCCGCATCCGAACGGATATCCGGATGCGGACCGACCATCTCTACTTGTTAATCTTCCTTGCAGCTGTCAGACTATCTCACATCACTCGTGTAATACTCATCACCTCACATTAGCTTGCAGACTAGTACATCACCTCATGTAAAAGGCTTCACCAGAATAAAACCCTCATGTAGACTTCTAGTTCAAACTAAAATAACTCTTATGACATCATGTAGGTTTCTCAACCAGCCAAAATACCTCATGTACATGTTCTGACTAGCTAAATCCCCTCATTGTAAAGCTCTGGCCAGCTAAAATCTCTCATTCTCTTGTTCCCCTGAAGCTAAAAACCCTCACCTTTGTGTATTTAAGAGGCTCTCCTCTCAGTTGTTTTCCCCTCAGTTTAGTATCCACCTATTTCATACCCCCTACCCTTACAAGCCCTTACATACCATTACATACCATCCCCTTACATTGAAACATCAGCTAGACTCACTCTCTCACTCTCAAATCAACCTTTAGACCCTTATAAAACTGGGTTAAACCCTTTGTCCACCTTTTAAGCCACAGTTATCTTTTGATACACTCCACTATCACTTTATTAAACCTTCCAATCTGAGATTGGTGGGCTTGTCTAGTGTCTAGTGATCCAGGAAAGGCAGAGGTATCCTCATTCATCCCTTTCCACAGTCAGCAAAAGGTTTTCACTAACACTTTTGAGCTTTACACCGTGCTGCTTGTCAACAATATTCAAACAACTGTAAAGTCTTCTATTGGTCCTGAATCACCAAACATCATCCATCCAACTCATTATTCCTTTCTTCTCCTTGTTTCTCTCTATATTTTATTTTTAGATCTTGTTCAGCTATAATTATCCTGTCCTAGGATATTACTGAAAACTCATTGCTTCTTCTATACTTGATTTATACCCTTTTTTTCCAATCTTTGCTTCCTACTCTTTTCTATTTATTTTGTGTGTCTGATGTGAGTGTGCCAAACCTATCTTTCTTCCTCTGATTGACTTTGATTATTTTCCTCATAGTTTACCTTGATTATCCAAAATTCTCCATAAAACTTATATTAAAAAAGTCCTGAACTTATAACTCTTCCATCTGATTAGTGGTATGCCTTGAGTCCCTCTCATTCAATCTGGTCTTATTTGTTTCCTACTTTCTCTTGCTCATTTGTTATTTTTCATCTTTACTGATCCCATTGTTCTTGCAGTCTGGTTTTGTTTGTTTAGTAATAAATCCTAAATTCAATAGACTGGCAGTGTGGAGTCATCTCACTTACATCACAGAAATTCCCATTTCTGTCAACCACACACTGGAAAACCAACAAATGCCAGTTCTTGTGATTAATGTAGCCCTTCCATTTGTTGCCTGCCGGCATGGAAAAGGGGATGTGAGTCCCATCAATGGCCCCTTTGATGTCCGGAATTCCATGCCGGCATTCAAACAACTCCTTGATATTGTCCCATTATTTGTGCACATCTAATTCTGGAAAGCTGCTTTCTGATTGCATCAGCTGCCAGGTCCCATTTACTTGATCATATGAGTTTGGACCCACCTGATTTTCCGTAGCCTAAGGACCTTGAGAACAGCTTTGAAACAGCTTCCAGCTGCTTTGTTGACGGTCTCCTTGCCAATATTGAAGACATGGGAGAAGGACATGTATGTCGCACCGTGGCCTAAACAATAGAGGCCAACTGCAACCTGGGCCTCAACAGATAACAGTCTCAGATCTCCCCGGCAGAGGTGATCTTTTTTCAAAGTTCCCTGCAGCTTGTCACATAGCCATGCAAGATCCGCCTGTGACATTCAAAAATATTCCAGGAATCGCACTAGAGATGGCCTTGGGGTACCCGTTTGGCAGTACCCGGCACCCGTTGGTGGGTACCCCCCTACCCCTGATGGTACCCGCCAAGTGGTTCCGGGTGCGGTACTTGGTGCCTGCTTTTGGGCAAAAAAGCAGGCGGTACCCTGGTACCTTTAAGGGTACCCGCCCCCAAACCCCCTCCTCGGTGGCTTGACCGAGACTAACTGGTCTCGTCCAGGTTGCTGGAGAAGAACCCTCCTCAGCAACCTGATCAAGACCAATCAGGTCGCCAGTAAGAGCCCTCCTTGGCGACCTGATTGGTCTCAACCAGGTTGCCTGGAAGAATTTCCGGTAGCCAGGCAGTACCCGCCAGGAGTACTGGCACCGCCGGTACCTGTCATACTTGAGCGGGTGCGGTACACAGTGTCTGTTTTGGCCGAAAAAAGCAGTCAGTACCCAGGTCCCATGGGGCCATCTTTAAATCGCACCAGGGGAAGCTGGTTGATGTTCCACAACTCCCAGCACTTGGGGTGGACAAATGCAACACATTTGGATCAGATGTAGATCTGCTGTTCAATGGATTGCTGCAGTCAGTTCCAATTCCACAGGGCAGAAAGTTGGATGACTGTGGTGGGGTCAAGCAGAGGAGGCAGCATGGGGGTTGGAGGCTTCAGCGGATGAGGTTGGTACAGGCTGAATCCATAAGGAATCAGACTATGTACTGACTCAATAGCCTACAAATCGGCTTGCACATTTATAATTCCATGTTGTTTGAGATGTTTTTGACTATCACTTCAATTTATGAACATAAAAAAAAACAAAGTCAAAAACTTAAAAAAAAAACAATTGGTTTATAATTGCTGTCTAAGTGGAGTAAGAACATTCTGGGTGCTGGGTTATCTTTCAATGGTGTTTGGCTTGGCAAGTGGGGTTGACTGTTGATCAGTATGATGGAATCATTGTTTGGGGGAACTGATTTGTGGGATGTCAAGACTGTCATAGATGAAATGATTCCCTGCTTCCAAAGTCTCCTTGATGATTGCTGATACTCTCTCTAGAAATACCTCCAAGGCCTTGATATATTCCTCATGGACTTTGTTGAAGTTGGGTGTTTCAAGAAAAAGCTCTGAATTATGATCTTGAATCAAGGCATGCTTCATGGCAGAGACTGTTTTTATAATTGGATCAGCATAAGTTAAGCTGAGAATGATTGAATAAGAAAGCTCACTCACCAACATCATATATGTATTCCACTTCCTCCAAAGGTGTTGGCTGGGTGGTGGTGGCAGGCTGAATATCTGGTGCAGGTGCTTCTGGTTCTGTTTCCAAAGGGACTCCTGCGTTCTTCAATGTCATTTCGGCTTGGGGCTGTAGGTTTGCAAGCATAGATAGATAGAGAAAAACAAATCAGAAGTATTTTTTGTGTGAAAGAATGTAGAGATTATTGGGCTTACAGTCTGATTTTTGAAGGTGTTATCTTGAGAGGATTTTGACATCTTTATCTGAGTTGGATGGTTCAGAAGATAGTCTAAGAATGTAGAGAGGTGATCATGAGTCAGTAATGAATTTCACTCGGTTAGGATAAGAAAGAACATACTTTCAATCAGATCAGAAAGAACATACTTTCAATCAGATCAAGTGAATCAAGACAGGTGGCACTTGTGGAATTTGATTGAACAATTGGCTTGATAGCTTGAACTTGGGAGAAGAAAAACAAAGCTGAAGTTTTTCATGCACCTTGAGGGGCAAAACCAGGGGCAACCACAATCCCGTCGCGCAAGGATACAAGCATATCCCCCTCCTGCTGGAAGATGATATGCTTATATCCATCCACTCTCGTCGCGCGACGGGACTTCCAGTCATAGGAGCAGAAATTTACAAAATAAAAACATAAATTTTGTACAAGCATACCCTGCTGGAAAATATGCTTGTAATAGTATCCGTCCTTTGTCGTCGCGCGACGGCAGAAGACTCTTCTCCCTCACTCGTTATCCGATTAGATATCCACATCGCCTTCTCAATCAGATCACCTCTCATACCATCCCATCCCAGTCTGGCGCTACAGCCACCCGACAGACTCAAAAGAAGATCGACTAGCCACAGCAACCAACAGACTCAAGATCATCGTATGGTTGTCCTGGTCAGTTGTAATGTATCGAGCGTATGGACAATCTAATGGGGGGGGGGGTCTCCGTTGTCCCTCAGATTATAATGCTTAATTTTGTTTTTTATTCTTCTTGTCTGATTAATTGGTCATTATTACGCCTAATATATATCAGAGCAGGCCTTAAAACTTGAATCAAACAATGATCAGAAAACATGATTTCTTGATTGATTATTTACATCCACACATACATACATATGTAAAACATTAAAAGAGAACGTCTATGAATCACATGCCCAGCATATCATTGAACACCAAAAAAAAAACAAATCATAAGAGTAGACGTAACCAATGGGAACACCCGTAATTCATTTCGCAAAAAAAAGAGGAAATGTGTGTGTGTGTGTGTGACAAATGAGAGTGGAGATTTAAAATTATAACAAACACGAGAGGAAACCACTAAAGAATGTCTAAGAATGGGCCCATTCGCCCGAACAAAAAAAAAGAAAGATAAAGAAAGGAAGAAGGACGAGCCGAAGTAAGGAAGAACTAATAGTTCTAGACAAGGGTGGACAAGTACTCCTACTAATCATCAACATCACAACACTAACAGCTAGTCAAATCGAGCAAATCAAGATAAGTAAGGGGATGTTGATCAGAGTATGTGAAGCAATTAATTACAAACATATTATCAACTGGAGCAACGTAGGCAAAGGGTATATCTCATGTAGCATGTGAGTGTAGGTCGACGAGTTATGTGGAGCAAGATCATACAGACATACATACATGTGAAATCGTTAATCAAGTTTATTCTCGCTCTAAGTGTAAGAAAGAAAATGAATGGAGACCCTCGTATCCACGCCCCCCCCCCCAGAAACACATAAAAAAAGGAAAGATGAAACAGCCCAAAACTAAGCAAAGAGGGGGGGGGGGATGGGAAAGAAAAGTGTATATACAAAAAAAGATCAGGAACGATTAATAGTCCTGACTCGACCACCAACCATCTTGATCCATAGTCATCGTGACTCTACTGATGACAGACGCACGACTAGGAGTCGGACTGACCGACCTACCTAGATCACCAAGGTGATGAAGGTTGGCCTGATGAGCAGAAGAAGAAGAAGAAGGATGGTGATGGTGAGGATGATGGAGTGAGATGGCGGAAGGATGATGGTGGTTGAAGCTAGTGACAGTGCCCGTGCTCAGGCGACTACTCGACCTGGCCAAATTATCGGCAGGAGTAGAGTGGATGAATTTGGGATGTTGGCCGGTACTCGTGGGTTGGGGAGCATGTATGGATTGAGTCAGAGGGATCGTCGAGCTGACGAAGTTGATCATCTCGTCCGACGAGTCCTGTGTGTCAAGTCCCTCCTCCTCTGCTTCCTCTGTCGATGATGATGGAGGCCGGTAACGCTGGAGGTCTTGGTGATTGTTATCAGCAGCTTTCCAGTGCGGTTGATGGTTGTTGTTGAAGACCATCAGTCCGTTCTGGCCAGCATTCATATTCGACTGGAGATTGACGCGCTCCTGTTTCTCGAGATGGTGGGCCCGGAGGTCGGCGAGCTGGTTCTTGAGCAGCTGGGTGACGTCCTTCGAGGCAGCCAGCTCAGCCTCGAGCTCGCTCTGGCGCTGGAGAGAGTCCTTCAACTCGACCGAGATCGTCTGATAGACCGCCTCGACTTCTTCCTTCACCATCCCGGCCTCCGTCCGCATCCGCTCCATCTCCCCCTCCAAGCTCTTCTTTTCTTCCTCCATCGTCTGCTGCTTGGCTTCCGATTCAGCACTCACTCGACTTAGCTCGCCCTTCATCTTCTCTAACTCTGCTTTGACCCCTTCACTCTCTTGCTTCCCGCGTCTCTCTAATTCTGATAGCTTTTGGTTGGCCATCGCTAATGCTTGTTGTTTGGAAGCCGAACTTTGATGCAAGTTTCCAATTTGCTCATCCTAGAATAAAGTAAACAAAATCTGCTTAGACTTGTAGCTTAAATAAAGTAATGAGCGAAAAAAAAAAACTTTACCTGATCACTGATTCGCTTCTTCAGTGTACGGATTTCGCCATCAGCCTCAGACTTGAGTCGGATAAGATCACGAATCTCCTGATCGAAGTTCTTGATCAAGGGGATCTTATCCTCGATCAAGCCTTTGATCTGCGCAGCCATCTCGCTTTCTCTCTCCTTCATACTCTTGATCTCTCGCGCACTCGAGGCCGAGTGACTTTCGTAAAACCTTTCCTTCATCTCCATCTCTCTCTTCATCGTCGAGATCTCAGATTCATGTAATCGGTTTGTCATTTCCAAATTACTCATCTTCTCCTTCTGTTCTGCTTTCTCGATTTCCCATTGTCTTAACATAATAAAAAAAGTTCCATCAGCTAAATGAAAAAAGAAACCTGAGTAACAAAATGAAAATCAGAGAACTGACGATTCTCGAGTTTTGTGACTATCTAAACTAGCCTTCAACTGATCGACAAGAAGTTTTGACTGATCAAGATTGGCGGCGAGGGAAGATTTCTGATCCTCGATTTCAGTTTTCTCACGACCAAGGCTTTCAAGCTGAGCACGAAGGGTGTTAGAGGAGTCTTTCAAGCGATCCTTTTCGGCGGCCAAGCGGGCATAGTCTTCCTGTTGGCGCTCCCGTTCAACGGCCCTCTCGGAGCGGATTTTGCCGTACTCGGCCCGGGCCTTAATCACGCTTGACTCTAGTTCAGTATTCTTGGCTCGGAGCTGTTCAATCAAGTGATCCGTTTCCGTCCGTCGCGCAAGCATCTTCTCGATCTCCGCCTTCAAGTCTCCACTAATTTCTTGTCCGACTCGATCGATCTGAGTACTAAGGTCCTCGTAGATCTTCGAGCTCTTAGCTTCCAAGTCATGCACCGATTCAAGCGTCTCATCCGTGCACCTCTTGAGTTCTTGTAGATTATCTTGGGTGGACTGCTTCTCAAGCTCCTCCAACAGTTTTCGTTGTGTCTCGACTTGGGTACCCATCAGTCGCTCCTCCAAACCTTTCCAAAATTCAGGAACCTCCCCTGCCTTCTCAGTCTGATGATCGGCCATCTCGACGGAAAATGATTTGATCATCGTTCCCAATTCGCTATTGAGTTGAGCAAAACATGGCTTGAGCTGCTTGAATATCAGTTCAGCTGTTTCGGATTTGTCGGATGTGAGGTCGATCAGTTGGCCAATTTGTGGCTTGACAGCCTCAGATAGTCTACCCGTCAGTTCGTCCAGATCTAATCCAAAAGAAGGCATTGATAATCGCGAATTGAGCAGCTCGAGCGCTGATTCAATTCTTCGAGTCGCTTCAGAGTCGGTTGGTGGATTCCCCGGGGCGCCGGGAGAGGGGATGTTTTTGATTGCGGAAATCAATTTCTCCTCAGTCTGTGAACCCCATCGATCGATCGCGGCAACCATGAGATCGGTTTTCTGGTCGGAAAGGATGGAGCCTCCCATCTTCTCCTTGCCCGACCCACCGAGCCAACTGTTGAGGATGTTGTCCATGCGGACATTGATCTCTTCGAGGATAGCATCTCTTTTCAACGAATCCCAGTCCACCTTCAAGCTATGCAACTCTCCAAGGTCTTGTCTCAACCCTTTCAGTTTCCGAGTTAATAATCTTTCGAGATCGGACATGAACAGTTGCCGATGATGATTGTTCACATGGCTCGATTTCATCTGATCATCTTCGTCGACTGGATATCGCCTCGTATCGCTTTCAACTATGAATGAGGAATTGGACGATGAATCTCCGCTGCTAGAATCTTGATCATCATCGTCGTCGTCGTCTTGGTATAACTTCTTAGAACTACATAGGGTCTAAAGAAAGCAAGAACACATTAGCCTTAAATCCAGTGACTCGCAGGGAACAAAAGTTGCTTACTTCGTCTCCGGCTGCAGAGATTTCCGGTTTGATCTTGGCCGAACTTTCCCCATCCTGCGATGTGGCAAACCAGCGAGTGGAGGGGGAACGAGGGCTGGGGGAGAGGGTGAGGTGACGACTTCGGATTGAGATTTCAGGCACGCCCTCGAGTTCCTCATCCTGCCTCATCCGAGAAGAAGCCTGGGGACTGGTAGCGCTGGTTTTGAAGCTGTGAGCGAGATTGTTCCGGCTGGGTTTAAGTGCCAAGAGTCGCGGAAGGGAGGGAGGTAGGATGACGTGAGGGCTTGGCGGAGGGAGTCTCAAGGTAGGTGGCTCTTCTTCAAATGATCCTTCAAATGGTGAGAATGGTGAACCGGGTGGTACGTTCACTTGAGGTGGTTTACTCCCCCTCTTGCGGGAACAATCAACGTCCAACAAGACTCGGATCGACTCGGTCGATGGATTGTCTCGATTGGATCTGAATGAGTCTCTATCTTCTTCCTCTTCTTCCTCTTCTTCTTCATCATCATCATCATTATCTTCAGAATGATCGCTATTGCCGCTCTGACTAACCTCCGTGGATGACAATTGTTCCCATTGTTTTTTCTGCTCTTGGAGCTGTCTTAATGACACGAGCGAGTTGAGTGATCGTCGTTCAACTTCTTCGTCCTCCTCCTCCTCCTCATCATCATCATCGTGATCTTCTCCTCTTCGACCCGGAGACTTCGATCGAGGCTGGGTAGGAATCAGCTCGTAAAAGGTAGAAGATCCAGGGTTTTCATCGATCATGGTACGAGTAGCCGAAGGAGAAAGTTCGGATCCAGAGTCATCATCAAAAGATGATCGTTGACGGAGTGCGATCGAATTGCCAGATTCGCCAGATCCGCTAGGGGCTGGGCTAACAGGCAAATTGATCACCAGATTTGGATGGATTTTTCGAGGATATATAGTGGAATATCCTGTTGGATCTGAGCTATTAGGTGCATCATGAGGCGTGGCTCCCGGGGCCAAAGAATCCGGTGGCTGCTGACGGTTGGCAGCCTGGGCGGTTGCGAGGCTGGGTGGTACGGCAGCAGAGGAGGAAGTCGAACCAGACATTTGAGCTTGATAGAGTACCATTCGAGATGTCGGAGTGGCTGGAAATTTGAAAGTACGCATGTTGTCTTTCCCTGGCTGTTCGGCTGGTTGATTGGTGATCTTTAGAGTATGAGGAGCTGTTGGAGCTGGATCGATTTCCTTGACCATTGGAAGACTTGCCAATGAGTTCGAGACTTGGAATGGGGCAGACGATACAGGCTGCTCGAAGAGAATGACCGAGGGCATCCCTTCAGATGCTGCACTTGCAATGACTACTGGACTTGGTTCGGTGACGTTCGATGCTGTATCTTTGACAGGAGGAGAAGCGTGGGTAGTTTCAAGTTCTTTCTGGAGTTTGCTTGGCCCGGAGTTTTCAAGATGGTTGGAGAGTGTGATAGATGGGTTGCGATTGAGTGGGGTTGATGATCCAAAATTGGGCTTGAACTCGGCCGCGAAAGCATTCAAACCGCTGTTACTTCCTCCCTTGGAGATTGAATGACTGGTGGATGAGGAGGATTCGAAGAGACCAACAGACATCACACTGCCAGTGGCCCGACCAACAGTGATAGCCAGATTGGTGGCTTGATCAGGACTGGTGCTGGTGCTCAATAAGAATCGGCTGGTGGGTGTGCTGTTCTTGAAGTTGGAACCAGCGACGGATTGATTGACGGGGCTAGCGAGTTCGCGAACGGAGGGCTGAATGATAGTCTGGAATATCAGTCAGTATTTTTTCCAAGATAAGATCAAGCTCCTCTGGAAAGGTTGATAAAACTACTTACCCGTTGGAGTTGATGAAGCTCCGCCTCTTCCTCGTCACTTGGATTCGAGACGATGTCTTCCTCCTCGTCCTCGAATCCGTTGATCCAATTATGAGGATGACCCTCACCAGCAGACATACTCTTTCGAGTGCTACTGAGACGACTGAAACCAAACGTGTGAGAACGGCCGAGTCGAGTGTGAGGGGTTGAGAGTGAAGATGACTGGCTGCTGATCCGATCCGGTTGAGAGCGACCGGCTAATGCCAACGTATCATGTCGTTGCTGGTTATGTCCCTCATCCTCGTCGCTTGGGTTCGTACAATCACTGCGTCGATCAGAATCTCCATCGTAGGCCGATTCCCCATGATCGGTATTGCTAGCAGAGACAAAGCATCTTGGCAGTGTCTGTTGAGTAGGATTGATTAAATGTCGTTGTAAACTGTGTTGAAGCTTGGCCAATGGGATATCGTCATCTTCTTCCTGTGCATCCAACTGACGATCACCCAAGCTTGAAAGCTCTAAGTCTAATAAAATCAAGATGGGGATAGTCAGATATACATTTTGTAAACGCCGCCTAGGACAAAAAAAAAAACCAAGAAAGAAAAGTTTGGGAAAAAAAAAACTAACCGCTGTGAGTTTGATCCAAGTCGGGATGGGATTGAGTCTCCTGGTGATCAGGATCGCTGTCTGTTACCAACTCATCTTCACACTCCTGCCCGTCGACGTTCAAGGTGGGGCTTGCTGGGGCCATCGGAGGATTGGGAGGATTGACCAAGTGGGCAGGCTGGAAGAGGGAGGGAGCTGGTGGGATCTGAGAGGCGGGTAGGGGTGGACCCCAGATCGAAGAAAAGGGGTGAGTGGATGGAAGAGTGGGTTTGAATTCAGCAGCGGTCGGTTTGAGAGAGGGCAAGACGGGTGGAGTTGAGCTTGGATTAGTCAAGAGAGAAGTTTGAGGATGAGTGATGAGAGGAGCAATCGAGCTAGGGCTCGAGAGATCGTTGGGTATAATCTCGTTGGGAGTTAGCGGCTTGAGTGCAGGCGATGGGGGAGAGGAGGCTGAAGGGTTTGGTGAGAGGACTGCAGGTTCGAGGATAGTTGGGAATGGAAAGACTCCAGCGATCGAAGGGATATGAAGGGTGGACTGAGAATTTTCTTCAAGGAATGCTTGTAGACGTTGACGAAGATCGAGACGTTGGAGCTAGAGGGGAATGGTGGTGGTATAGATGTGGTGGTTAGTATGAGAAACTGATTCTTGAAGAGAGAATAAATGGTTTTTGTCTCTGATGAAGATGTAGAAGAAGATGATGATGATGATGATGATGAAGATAGGGAATGGTCACGATTCATTCAAGATGGTTGATGAAAGGAGGGCATCTAAATATGTAGTTATTTCAATGCATAGAAAGGGACAGATGTCCTTAGAGAGAGAGAGAGATAGTGTGTGTGTGTGTGTGCATGTGAACATCAGCCTCGGCTCACCCAGTCTCGTTCTTCCTCTCCCTCCTCATCATCCTCTTCAAGGTTCGAAGGAATGTTTGGTTTGATCTTGGTTGGATAACCAAGCTCGGTGAGTTTGTCAGACAGGATCTCGATCCGAAACTCATCCCATACCTCTCTTCCGGGTAAATAACTGTGTGATGAGAATTGATCGATCGGTTAAAACAAAACAAAATAAAATAGATGTGTGTGTGTTTTAATTAGTGAAGGAAGACATACACATCGATTGAATCGGGTAATTGATTGTTTGATGGTTTATCAGAGTACTCTTGCTTGGTGGTGTAAGCTTGAGTTGGATGAGCTGATACAAGATCTGAGCAGAGTTGGATGGTTGATAGTTTGAGTGGGGTTCTAGTCCAGCGAGATCTGGTTCGAGATTCGTCCTGAGGCAGTTGATAGTCTGGAGTATGTTCTAGTGGTACTCTGACCTTGAACTTCTTCCTCGGGGAGGTTGACTGCTGTTGGTGTTGTGATCCGATGGTTCGTTGAGGGAATGAGGAGCTGGATGAGGATAGTTGGGATGGTGATTGGATGGCTTGTGGGGATGATTTGAGTGGTGGTCTGAGTTTGGATGGAAGTGGGCTTGGGGTGGTGGGTGAGGCTAGGAATGGTCTTGGTCTGAAGCCAGCTTGGATGTTATGAGGATGAGGGTGTGGATGAGGGTGTGGATGAGGGTGAGGGTGAGGGTGAGGTGGATGGTTGAAGAGTTGGTTTGGTAGGTGATGGTTTAGATTGAGTGGGGGTGGGTGTCTTAGTAGGAGTGGGTTGGTAGTAAAAGGTGCTTTGAAAGCGTGTTGAGGGTGGATCGGCTGTTGCTGGTTGAGGAATGGGAGCAGGAGTGGGTTATGGGGAGGGTGTCTGTTGAGTGGATGTTGCTGGTGGTGTTGCTGATGCTGATACTGCTGTTGGTGTTGCTGCTGTTGGTGTTGGTGGTGTTGGGGATGATGAAAGTGTTGGTGGTAGTGTTGTTGCTGTGCTAGTTGGAATGGGTGAGTTGGTTGTTGTTGTTGTTGGTGGTGGTTGCTGTTAGTTTGAGTTCGTTGGTGGTACATTTCTCTCAGTTGTTGTTGTTGGTGTTGTTGCTGATGATGGCCTTCGTTGGAGAGATGGAAAAGAAGAGTGAAAGAAATTGAAATCGGAAACGAAGCAAATCCAAAACAATCCAAACCAGAAGCTCCTTCATGAAATATTTCAAAATACAACTATCCGACATCCCACCTCATCAAACATATCCGACCACCACACCGGGTATCCACATCTTCAGATCTCCCAGTCCACAGCTCAAAATACTCAACTCGAACTGGCTTAAATAAGAAAAACCTATCAGCTATGTAATCCAACAAGCCAGAAACCTGCACCAATCTGCGCATAGTGGACTCTCATCCTGAATAAACCATTCAAATCAGAATCAATAATGCTTTGAAACATAATTTGGCTATTTGATGGTAGACTAGAGATCTAAACTCAGCTTATAACTCACAGACAGGAGACGTATCAGAACTTGATCCTTGAGTTTTTCATACAAAAAAAAAAAAAGAATTTGCTCAAACAGATCAAACAACACCATTCACACATATTTGGAGCCATTCAATGGAGGGAAAAACAAGAAAGGAAAGAAACCATATTCTTTCTCACTATCCCCTAGACTGTTTTTGTTTAAGGAGAACAAGCCCACAGGCTCATCCTCTAGTACGTTTTCTGTTGAGATAAATCAGGAGACAGCAGTAATGATCTTGGGCAGAAGGAGGAAGAAGAGTTCCTTCCTAGATTCTGGCTCCAGTATATATATATATATAAGATGAGAGAAAACAATGAAAGATCTCACAAAACTGTGACATGTGGAGTAAGCATACAGGCAATAGATCAGCAGAAAGACATGATTAGACATAGAATCCATACACATGGATACCTCAGCATTTTCTTTTCTGTTGTCTATGTTGTAGCTTGGATGCTTCTAGCCATTAATGGTGCTCTCATTCAAGCATCTGATTCTGAATCAAGATCCTCAAACAAAACCCATCAAGACCACCACCTCAATCCACAAGAGAACTAAGTTTTTTTTTCTGTTTTTCATCAAGACAGATGTAGAGAATTAGTTGATCAATCCACCGTTTTTTTTTTTAAAAAAAAAAAAAAGTAACAAGGCTTTGAGGGGTGAAGAGATGAATTGTCTCTTGGAGTTGTTTGAATTCCAATCATAAAGAATTTTACATATCAAGATAAAATTAATAGAAGTGAAACCATCAACCCACACTGAGATAAAAACAACCCATATAATCCCCTCCCTGATCTGAATGGCCAGTGTTCTCTATATTCCAACACATCCTTCTAGCATTTCACTGAAAGTCCCAGAAATTGCCCAAATCTGTCTGAAATCCTAAACAAATTACATCTGATGGATCCCATATTATACAGGACAATCTTCATCAAATCCCTCAGCTCCTCTCTCTGTTTTCATTACAATGCCTGATCTTTTAAAGTGTGTGTGGATTATCCAATAGGTGGTGATTTTTAAACTTGCATCAAACAGAGTTTTTTTTCTTGAAAATTCACTAGCAAATTTAGAAGTACTTCACCTGAAGGAAAGTTCATCAATCTCGATAATGGATGAGTTCAGTACTGAAAATTTCTGATGGTAATTTCTTGCATATATAAGATGAACTTGTACCTCTTTCCTCTCATTCTACATAGTGTATCAAATATCAAATACACTGCTGTTAGCTTCACACAAAATTTCTGATCTCCCAGCACCTTCTTAGATTATGCTATTCTGACCTGTAGTTGCAATTTGAATGATTTCTCAGGCTTTGTTTCTTTTGACCTCTTTGTTTCATTTTAAGATGGAAAGTTTTGAATATGAAATCTTTCAAAATTCCTATTGAGGTTGGAATATTCAAAAGATTCAAATTGAACTCACGGAGACACACAAGTATTCAGCTATCATTTCATTTCTTACACCAACTTGAAATTCTGCTTCTGTTTCTTAAAGTAGAATATAGAGCATTTCCACATTGAGTGTAATATTGAATGCTAAAGGTGGGTGACAAAAGACATAACCAGAATTGAAATCTGATGATGACATCTGATCAAGAATCAATTGAAAAAAAGAAGCAAGTCTAGTTTTATAAGCAGCAGAACAATAATAATAATAAAGATCAGGAGGCTGAAGGGAAGGTTCAGATTTCTAATCTACTGGACCACCAGAAGGAAATCTTTCCAACCACAATCAGGTTCAGATTCCTCTATGGACTAGAAAATAATCAAAACAAAAATAGATCAAGATTTTTAATTCATTGCCAGTAAAAAGGAAATAGAGGATCTAATTTTGTCTCAAATACAACTTACAAGCAATGCATAACCATTAAAAATTGATCAGCAGAAGAGACAATTGGAAGAAGGTCCATGAAAACCAACCAAAGGCTGATATTCTGATAAAAATATTAGCCTTTGGTTGCTTTTCACCTCAGGCACAACAGAAGATTTGTTTGAGTTGTGAGCAGTTGATGATCATGAGCACTTATATGCCTGTGGAACCGGTGAAGTTTGGGGTACAAGCCATCGTGAAGCCGTATAGGATCTTTCTAACTTGAATCATTCCAAAAAAATGAAAAAATCTTGATTTCAAGCTAAATAGCCTCATTTGGATCACGATGAGGGCATTCTATGGATCAGCCGGTTTGTCCCAGCGAAAGTGGGTATATTGTTCGATATCGGGCAAATCATGCTCGAGCTCATTCAAGAAAACGTGCATGTCTACGATCCTCTTGCGCCACTCCAGGAATTGCTTGGCCCTCCCGTTTTCCACTTCGGTTAATTTGATCACAACATCAGCTGAAGACCCAGTACGGGGTCTTCGATCTACGGCTTGAAGCTCCATGAGAAATTCATTCGGCAAGGCCCCAAGAAAATGCATCTGGAACCATTTGGCCTTCTTCCGCACTTCATTAACACTCAGCCTTGCTGCCTTGTCATCGTTAAACACTTTTGCACTGATCGTTTTGATGTGGTCCATGCCCGTCCAGTACTCTTCTGGAAAATGCCACTTGAAATATAAATCGATTATCTCCCGTAACTGAGGATCAGCTTTGATCAAGTAGAAATATGATAGACCAAAAAGCCTCTCCAGGATCACAAAAAACCCAGCATCTAACTTCTCACCATCAGTCCAACCTTATAATCATGATAACTCGAATAAAACTGGCACTTTATCCACTCACCTCTCAAATCGGCGAAATTTCTCTGGCGCCATGCCTTCAAATAGAATAGACATGAGCCACCAACTGCCTTCAATACGTCCAGAGCTCCAGGCTCGACCATTTTTTTCAGGTTCGTCTTCCCTGCGAAATCCTCCAGAATCTTGTTTGCTTTCTTCTGTATAGCGTTTGGTACTTCTTTCCGCATATGGCCACTACTAGGTGAGATGGCGGATACGGCGGTTGATTGCTTCCAAAAAAAAAGAAGTCTCAATGATCACTTGTTCTTTTGAATATATTAATCAATCGATTCTTGAAAACTGCTTACAAGATGGGCCTCATTCTCCGGATGAGAGCGTTGTATCTTTGGTGATGTGAGTGCTTCATCCAAATTAGGAATCCGCATGCCCAACGCAAGTTTTGAGATGGATGATGATAATAAAAGAATTGAAGTGTGCCTGGAAAACCTCATATCTACTGGTATTTAGCTCCAATCATCTAATGATGTTTTGAAAATTTCCTATGCGGAACATGGGGTATAAATCAAACATTTGAACGGCCATGCAAACTCAGCTCTTCAATCTGCAGGGGGCGGCAGTTTCTTAGCACTGCTGATAGTGATACGTTTTCCTCGATTTAGAGCTTGATCGGGATTAATTTCGCCGTCCGTACACTACCGGTGTCCGGTACATCCAGTTCATGGCATGTACCGAAGATACATACAGACACACTCGGTGGATCAGAGCTGCCTCGTCAAACCTGGAAAATTGATATTTTGATGACCAGTCATACCGAGCGATGACCAGATGTCGAGAGGGCTGTTTACATTGGCATGACCACCGAGCGATGAGCAGATATCAAGAGGACTCTCATTCCATGGCGCGGTTATACCGAGAGAGCTCCCTTGGGAAGAACAGTTATATCGAGAGGACATTGCCTTAATAACGAATCATACCAATCATCAAACTGGCACGACGTGTACTACTCATCCAGGGAATCATCCTTGGCACCTGGTTATACATGCCTTGTACCAGTTGATCAATGAGGGACCTGTCTTGGCAATAATAGTCTGGTCCAAGGTATATTGCTTGCCAAGTAAGATTTCATTTTGAAAAGCAGTAAGCACGAGTCGAAGTATGATTGAAGAGCTCAATTTCCCCTTGAAATTCAGCCGAAGGACCCCAATTAGCTCACACATGCAACACTGGGTCTATACTTTACAGTTATTGGTATAGTATTGTTATAGTATATATATTTCCACATTTAATATAAAGGGTGTGGTTATAGTCTGATTTTCAGGGCCCTTTACTATAACTGAGGAGAACAGGAAATTCTTTTGGGTGATTTACTCTACCATAAACTACCCTGGATGCTGATAAAAACATCTATGGCTACTTATGAGAGTCTCTTGACCACAGAAGGGCTCTCTGGAGTTCACTTCATGGTTGATAAAGCTAAGGCCCTTACAATAAATTGCAATTTGGAGCCACAAAAAGTGGCCAATACTATACCAAGCTTGGTGGGAAACACACTGGTTATAGTATTGGTATAGTAAACAGAAATATGAAGAAACTTTACTGTACTGAAAAGGGCCAGTTATAGTAAAGTATAGTATAGACCCATTGCTGACACATGGTATTCCGCAAGCTTTCAAGTTGTTCCTCAATCCTTGGGCTCGAGTGATTTGGGCCTCTTCTTCTTTTTCCTGAAGAGTTTAAATTTATCAAATCACTTTATCTTTTCTGATATCTTAATGGGCATCTGTTGGAAATCGAACTCAAAAGACAGAGTTTCGACTACAAAAAGAGTTAGAACCCAAGAGACAGTGCATGCGGCAGTGATTGGTAAGCAGCCTTCACTACACCATGTAATAGACCATCTAGGAGAGCTGAAAAAGCTAACTAAAAACAAAACTACAGATCACAAACAATCCACCAACGTGACAGAACCCGCGATAGAACCTGACAACTCCAACAACCCAAAGAGGAGCAACCTGCTCGAGAGACTTTCATCCCCCATCGCATCAGCCGTGTCCAATAATAAGACATCAAGCGAACTCATCGACACATCGACGACTATCGATACTTACAATAACCAGAACACAAGCCCTTACTCTGAAAGAAATAAAGAACCCTGCGCCCATCGCACTGTTCAACATCATCTTGAACTACAATAAAGAAGTCCGATCACAGACCATAAAGTAAGATCTGCTGTCTTCAACTAGATACAGACGGTTAGCTTAGAAACTAACACAGACCCTGCACTATAAACAACCATAACAGAATATTCCTTTACCCTTTTCTCTAATCATAAGCCTCTCGCCTTCCAAATCTCCTTTCTCTAAAAGATAAAGCAAGAGTCTCGCTTGCTTCTAGGTACATATTCATTTCTATAACATCAATATCAACTTGTACCTAGATCTATTCTAATGCAAATAAAACTTCTAGTTGCTTGCATTTTATCAGATTTACAGTCTCGAAGCTCGAATCAGCAACCAGCAACAGCTAGAAGCAAGACGAGATGGCCCCATCAACTACAGCACCTGCCACCCGCTCTAAAGACAAAGAAGGCGAAAAGGAAGAAAAGGAAGTTTATAACGTCGATAAGGACTCCGTCAACGTACCAAAGTTTAATGGAGACAATTACCCAATCTGGGTACGAAAGATCCGAATGCACCTGCGTGCTCGTGAACTGGAAGAATTCATCGACGCAGAACTCAAGGAAGACGCAGATGAGGCAACCAAGACCAAAGCCAATCGAGTCTGTAACATTCTCTCTCACGGAATCGATGACTCCATCTTCACCAGCATCATAACCGAAGAGAATGAAAAGGCACCTTACGCTATATGGACTGCTATTAAAGATATATACGCGAGCGACTCGATGTTGTCAATCTTCCAAGTCTGGAACAAATGGGAAGATATTCAGTTCGAAAACGACATGAACAAATACATTAATGCAATGCTAGAAAGTCTTTCCGAATTCAGTTCCATCGGCATCAAGATTCCCGATGAAATCATCAGCTGTGGTATAATTGGTCGAATCACCAAAAAACGTCCGTTGCTTATGCAGACGTTATTCTCAGACATTGGGGCACTATCAAAGCCTAAAATGATCATCGCCAAACTTCGCGACATCGGACGGCATGAGAAAGCGATGCGAAAACAAATCGTGCCAGAGGCGACCCCAAGCTCAACTGCCCTAGCTACGAACGTAAAACGTAAAGCACCAAAAATCTACTGCAAGAACGGCAAGCACAACTCAGCCTTTGACTACCACCACTCAGAAGCTGACTGCTGGACCGTTCATCCCGAGAAGAGAGAAGAGCACTACACATCCAAGAAAGCTCGACCCTCCACCTACCACACCACAACCAAGACAAGTGACCCCGACCTAGCTAGTATCAGACCGGCATTCGCATATCACACAATGCAAAGCACAAATCCAACGCTACCCACCGTCTTGGATTCCGGCGCTAGCAATCATATGATCAACACGCTCAGTCTTTTCGTAGACACCACTCCAACGCAAATCAGCATTCTCACTGGCGGAGGCGCTGGAGAACTTACAGCAGTTGCCAGAGGAACGGCCAGGCTCACACTAGACAACGGCCAGACCCTGACACTAAACGAAGCCCTCTATGTTCCAAACTTATCAAGAAATCTGATCTCGATGATACAGTTGATGAAACATAGCATCAACATTGTCACCGCAAACGGCAACTGCCAAGTGACAGTCGACTCCAACCCGACCTTCACAGCTGACATCTCCAACGACTTGCTGGAACTAAGGATCATCGAGAATCAAATTCAAAGTCCTCTCAGCTTACTCACTACCCACCACGAGCACCTCTCCGACTTCGACAAATGGCATAATCGACTCGGACATGCCAGCACTGGGAGAATAGCTAAAGCGCTAACGGAACAAGTCACGTTGAACAAAACTCACGCATGCTCTGCTTGCATGCTCGGAAAACTTACCAAACGAAGTTTCAACAGCTCGTTCAAGCCCGTAAATGCACCACTCGAGGCCGTCCACGCAGACCTAGTCGGACCCATCACTCCATCAACAAACGGAGGGGCCAGGTACTTTCTTACCCTAGTCGATCAGTACACGGGCTACATCCACACTGCAATACTCAAGACCAAAGACCAATCCACTGCGGAAATTGTTAATTTCACTCGCCTTTTCGAGAAGCAGTCTGGACACTCCCTGAAGAAGCTGATTTCAGATGGAGGTGGTGAATTTTGTAACAACGCATTAAGCTCAATTCTCACCGAAGGCGGAATAATACACAACGTCTCACCTCCGTATACACCCCAAAACAACGGAGTAGCAGAAAGAGCGAATCGCACCATTCTCGACATGGCGAGATGCCTCCTAATGCAAGCCAATTTAGCCCCTGAGTGGTGGGGAGAAGCAATAAGGACAGCCACAGCGACGACCAACTGCCTTCCTTCTCTAGGAAAAGGCAAAGCAAGCCCGCTGGAGCTAATGTTCAAAGTCAAACCGAACATTAACTTTTTCCGACCATTCGGCTGCCGTGCCTGGGTAGTCAAACCGAAAGAAAACCGAGACACCAAACTAGGCCCGATATCATGGGAAGGAATTCTCATAGGATATGAGAACGACTATTCTTCGTATCGTATTCTCCGATCCGATGATAAACAAATCATCACGGCCAAACACGCTCATTTTGATGAATCAACTTTTCCGGAATGCCCCGCACTCAATAAAAGCGTGACAGCAATAGGAATCAACAAACTGCCCAGCTTTACAGCAGAAGAACCGATGCCCTTTGCTGAAGAACTTGACACAACCATGGAAGAACAGGAAGACCTCACAGCGGAGGAAGAAGAGATCGACCAAATCATCAACCAAATCCGAGCTGAAAGCCCAAAAGAGACCACGGAATCGATAACCATTGATGAAGTTCATGAGGTACCGCAACCTGCCACTAAAACTCGCTATGCCTGGACCACAGCACCTCCGGAAAAGGAGATCACTAGCGCTCTGGACCCGAAAAACATAATCAATGAGCGACGCAGAAGACACGCGTTCCTGATTACAGTGACAAGCGACCCGAAAACGCACAAACAAGCAATGGCAAGCACTGACCATCAAAATTGGAAGGAGGCGGAACTCAAAGAAATAGCGAACATGAAGAAACATCATGTTTGGAAGGTGCGAGCGAAACTCCCTTCCGACGACCCGATTCCGGCGACCTGGGCGTACAGGAAAAAGCTTGGCTCAGAAAATCAAATTATTGAATGGAAAGCTAGAATTTGCGCACAAGGATTTAAGCAGACTCACGGCCTAAATTTCGAAGCCAAATACGCCCCCACTGGCAAGCCCTCATCTTTGCGATTTCTCCTGTCATTCGCAGTCAACAACGACCTTAAAATCCACCAGCTTGACGTAAGAAGTGCGTTTTTAACCTGCCCATTGGAGGACAAAGTCACACTTCTTCCACCTGCAGGCTTGGATTGCCCTGAAGGATCGGTGCTCGAGCTAAACAAGGCTATCTACGGCCTGCGTCAAGCACCTCTTGTATGGTACAAGCGTCTGTCCAGCTTCTTACAGTCAATTGATTTTCGAATCTCTCTCTCGGACCCCTGTGTCTTCTGGAGAAACAGCCAACCCAACAGACCTGCCACCTGGATTTTCGCTCATGTTGACGACCTTGTTATAATCAGCCAAGAACCCGAAATCTTCAGGCGAGAAATGGAAAAAGAATTTGAAATCAAGTACCCCGGAGAAGCTGTGTTCCTACTCGGGATGAATCTTGAACGCTTCGCCAGTGGTTTACAGGTTAATCAAACGCAATACATCGAAAGAAAGCTCATCGAATACAACCTCACCAAACTCCACCCAGCATCCTGTCCGCTAAATCCACGCGAACCACTGAAAAGGGCTACTGCAAGTGAAATTGGAGCGTTGAAGAACCTGAACGTCAATTACAGGGCTCTCATTGGCTCTCTTAACTATCTAAGCATTCTCACGAGACCAGACATCTCGTTTGCAGTAAGCACGCTGTCGCAATACCTAGAGAACCCGGGTATCAAGCACTACCAGGCAGCTGTTCAAGTGTTTCGCTACCTGAATGGAACGAAATACGTAGGCCTCACCTACATAAAGGATCCTCACTCACCTGTCAGGGCTTATGTTGACGCCGACTGGGGAAACTGCCTTGACACCAGACGATCGACGACAGGCTTTGTGATTGCAAAAGGGACGCATTTGCTCAACTGGAAAGCTAGTAAACAACCTACAGTCTCACTCTCGACAGCCGAAGCTGAATATAAAGCGCTGTCTGATCTAGGCAGGGATCTCGCCTGGTTTGCAAGCCTAATAAAAGAACTGGAAGCGAACGTTTCTACCAACAACATTGAAGTCGCGGTCGATAACAGAGCAGCGATCGATTTGGCAAAAAGTGAAACATCGCAGAACAGCTTCAGGACAAAGCATATGGACATCAGACTCCACTTCGTTAGAGAATTGATACAATCTGCACTTATCAAACTACACTATGTCAAAACAACTGAAAACATAGCAGACTTTCTCACGAAAGCCTTGGGTCGCTCGACCATTAGGAAATCTCTAGCCGCGATTGGGATCTTGCGAGTCTCAGAAGCTGCTTCTAATCTAACGACTAGAAGCACGCCAGGCTGTTGGAAATCGAACTCAAAAGACAGAGTTTCGACTACAAAAAGAGTTAGAACCCAAGAGACAGTGCATGCGGCAGTGATTGGTAAGCAGCCTTCACTACACCATGTAATAGACCATCTAGGAGAGCTGAAAAAGCTAACTAAAAACAAAACTACAGATCACAAACAATCCACCAACGTGACAGAACCCGCGATAGAACCTGACAACTCCAACAACCCAAAGAGGAGCAACCTGCTCGAGAGACTTTCATCCCCCATCGCATCAGCCGTGTCCAATAATAAGACATCAAGCGAACTCATCGACACATCGACGACTATCGATACTTACAATAACCAGAACACAAGCCCTTACTCTGAAAGAAATAAAGAACCCTGCGCCCATCGCACTGTTCAACATCATCTTGAACTACAATAAAGAAGTCCGATCACAGACCATAAAGTAAGATCTGCTGTCTTCAACTAGATACAGACGGTTAGCTTAGAAACTAACACAGACCCTGCACTATAAACAACCATAACAGAATATTCCTTTACCCTTTTCTCTAATCATAAGCCTCTCGCCTTCCAAATCTCCTTTCTCTAAAAGATAAAGCAAGAGTCTCGCTTGCTTCTAGGTACATATTCATTTCTATAACATCAATATCAACTTGTACCTAGATCTATTCTAATGCAAATAAAACTTCTAGTTGCTTGCATTTTATCAGCATCTACAAAAATGTAAAGTGCAACTCTCCTACTGATTAATATTATTCAATCATATATTTGACGAGCCTCTTCAGAAATCTTGTTATACCCAACTTTGTCCAATTTGTTGGGAGTTTTTATAAATGAGTTTTTTTTTTCAATGTAACTAGAAAAATGAAACCTCCCTCAGAACAAGAACAAGAAAACAAGTTGAATAATGCGATGAAAATAAAACTGCAAGTGGATCAAAGTGGAAGGAACATCCATCGGATTCTGCCAATGAAAAAAGCGTTATGTACAATGGAATAATTTAAAATAAAATCGGAACCCTAATTTTTGATTGTTTGTATTTTTATTTATCAAAAGGAAACATCGGGTAATTTGAGGAATTGTTTACAAGCCTTCGCGGGAGAGTCGCCTGCTGAGATCCGGGTTTTGATTTCTGGCGAGAGAAGAAACGCGTAAATATGCTTGGAATCAGAAACGATTGTGATGGACTATATAAGAGAAAAGAGTGACTGACCTGGTAATCTAAGATCGCAAATTGGGATTGGAAACGAGCAAATCGAAGAGCCGTCGGGCAACAAGATCCTAAAAAAAAACATCCCGGAGACAGTTTGAGCAATCCTGAAGACCACCTAAAAGCCTCTCTGACACTTACGCTGATGAGTTAGAATTAGTGTTAGCCGCGATGATTTGAGTGGCGTTGTTTTGATGATTGGGCAAATCAGCACTTGATCCGTTCACCGAATTGGCCCCACTGACGTTCCCGGCGTTTTGCAAGAATGTCGAGCCATGGTTGGCCATCGTCAACGTGCCATTGGTCGGAGGTAAATCCAAGTTCTCTCGTTGAGTTTGGCAATCAGCAGCTAACTGATAAAGGAATTCGGTCGAATAACTATATTTCGAAAATATCAGTCTTCCGTTACGGATCTCGTAATCGATTTTCTTCTCAGTCACCATCCCTAAACTCGTTTTCCTGTGAACAAGGTTTCCAAAGAATGATCTATGTTAGTATTTCGATCAATGTGATGCTTGATTCACAAGTCGAAGGGAGCCCACACTCCACTAGAACTGCAAAAGTGAACGGCTCCGGGGTTTTTCACTGGAGTGGTTGGCCCTTCTTGTTTGCATGGGTTCTGGATCGAAGCGATGTCAGGATTCGACTCATTCAAGCCCAGTACCAGTTGATTATCCACTCACTGTATCAATAACAAAGATTACATTCTGAGCAATGAAAAGAAAGAAGTCAGTTAGGTGTTGGGGTGCTCGTTTCAGTTTTAAAAATTCAAAAAAAAGTATATTACCATTACTCTGAAGAGCTGGGCAAGGACACCCAATTGTACCGTGTCTCGTGCATTGTCTACCAAGGTCGCTTTTGGTGGATGATCGGACAGGAAAGTTCCGTTCTGCAGAGATCCGTACAGTCCATCCTTCGAGCTGATTGGCGAGTAGAGGGTTAGCTTGGCCGTCACCGCGATGATGGATTGCAATCGGTCTTCAAACTGTTGAAGATTGGCGTTGAGGGCGGACCACTGCTCAGGGGAAAAAATGGGTTGGATCAACAAACGTCACCTACACAAAATAAATGAGATGCTGTTTCCACAGCTTGAGCAAAGCCAAGCTTACGAGCTGAAATTTATCATGGGTCACGGTTTTATGGTGGTGTTTCGGACTACGCTTTTGTAGTCCCCTACAAAGGTGGAAAGACAAGACAATTCAGCGGAAGTGATGGCGAAGCAAAAGAGTTTCAAGTAACTTGCCCTGTTGCTGCGCCCTTCACCAAAGCTTCGTCTGTTGTTTTCAACGACGCCGCCACTGCAGCCTCTTCACCTTCTCTTGTTGCAGCGGTGGTGGCAGCAGTAGCCGCGACCTCGGATGTCTCTGCTGCAGCGAGTTCTGCTCCGGATGTAGTGAGGTACGCCCAAGTACCCGCTACGGCGGTACCGACCGACGACAAAGCGATTCCGGCGGCGTTCCAGATCGTAACAAGTAATCTCCACAGTATGGGGACGATGAGCGTGGCGGTGAATGCGAGTAGGATCACTCCACTCAAAGATACAAGGCCAATCGTCAGGTTGATCAGATTTTTCTTGTCGTCACCCTCGGGCAAACTGCCGAAGTTGAAAAAAAAATCTCAGTGAACCCATTAACTCAATCACTGGATCTATCCTACTTACAGGTCGGCTACCATTGAGGCGGAGGTGCCTGTATTGAGCGGTTTAGGTCAATTCACTCTACTTGATGTTCTCACAGCACAAGCAATATAGCAGAAGAAAATTGGATGAAGAATGCTCACCTTGGACCATACCCATGGCAGTAGCAATAGCATCATACATAGAATTGATGTAAAAGTTCCACTCTTGTACGGCGGATAAGACCACCCAATCCCGACCGCGCACAGGATGACAAAGCTACAGAGAAAGCATGTCCGTGTTTGTGAGCTCTCGGAGAAAAAAGAAATATTGTTGGTAGGACACTAGGGTTCTTGACAAGTTTAGATAAATTACCTGTCCAGCCAAGCACATTCTACCGACTCCACAGTCGAAATTCAAGACGTTTAATGAGCGAGTGTAATCCTGGCAAGAAGAAGGGAAATTGGAAGCAATTTTCAGTGGACACTATCGTGGTAGTGGAGTTGAATCAAAAGATGATTTTTTGAGATTGCTGACAAAGAGTGTGAGGTTTTGCCCGCCAGGGTAATGCAAAAGATAGTTGTCGATTCCCAGCTCAGCCCAAGTCCCTCGATTCAACGCATATCCTGAGCAATCTCCTGATTCTGCATCTCCCGCTATCTGCCTCGGTTGCAGATTATTGTGATGGGGAGAATTGTCAGGCGCTGATGCAGTGATTGCGGTGGCCAAGGTGAAAACGAGTGAGGTTGAACGCATGTTTCGGATGCGAGCTGTTTCTTGGATGCGGAACGAAAGGATTCCGAAATAATGATCAATGGTTCAATGATTTCTTTATAGAGTTGTGATCGGCATGCGAGCAACGTCAAGACAAGCTAATGTTGGTACAAAGTATCCCTTATCAAGGCAAGGCTGCTCGACGATAACACCATTTCCAGTTAAGCAGTTATCATCCGTACTCAAGCTGGGGAGATGTTTCACCTGCGACCAACTCCCGGAGGCGACTTCGGTCCAAGTGCGTCAGATTGCTCCAAAAGCGACCTCTTCAGCTACATATGCTCGATAGGCCAGGGAACTCTATATACAGGCCTCTGAGCTCATCACGTGCGGGGGCTCTCGAGAGGATGTCTCGCCCGGTAAAGTGGGCCGTACAGAGGATGAAGCAGTCCACCAGTTTCATCATCGAACGTCTTGACCTCAACATGACATGTCTCTTAGGCGCATAGGGCTATGATGCCATACGACTTCGCCCGAAAGTCACAAATGATTTGCCTACCAGAACAAAAACCGAGGCCTTTCCTCGAGGGCATGGACATGGGGTGTGCCAGCAAGATCGACAGATAAAATCCAACCAAATCGCACAGCGGAAGTTAAGTTTAATGAGCCCCCTATGAAGCTGAGGGAGTTGATTAAGTTAGCCGCTCAAGGGCGTCTCCTCCAAGGGTGTACCGGATGTTGATTCGGATGAGGAGAAGAAGAAGTAATATTTGCAGCCAAAGGCAAAACTGAGTCCATATATGCCTATGTACCTGTTCCCCTGGGATTTCCACTAAAGAAATTTACGTGTTTGCAAACATCAAGTAAAAATAAACTGAGGAGAAACGAAAAAAAAGAGAAAAGCTATGAACGCAGATAAAGATATAAAGACGTGCAACTTTATACTATCATATAAAGTTTGTTTTCATTCCTTTTCCCTGATGACCAGCCGCTGCTGATTACACTTCAGAAACCCACAAACATTCAAGTAAATGTGTATAACCCTTATCCCTGAATCTTGATTAGAAGGATCAGCATAGGACCCAGGAAACCCCCTATAGAGGTGGGTAACCAAAATGTATGAATGGATTTTCACCCTACACAACCACTTTGACTGAACATCAGATGTGGTATCTGGATAGTTGCCACATCAGGACATGTACATAACAAATGTGCATCATGTACATGTCTTCTTTAGTGGCTAACCTCAACCAGTGAGTTTTAATAACCGAAAAACTAAAAAAAAAAAATGTATGAATTTTTTTTCAGATTTTTTTTTTTTTTAGTTTTTTGCTTCTCAAGGCTCACTGGTGAAGATTTACCACTAAAAAGTTTATGGGCAGGATGCACCTTCAGTATGTACATGTCCTGATGTGGCAACTACCCAGATACCACAACTGATGTTCAGTCAAAGTGGTTGTATACATTTTGACGTTTTGGTTACCCACCTCTATAGGGGGTTTCCTGGGTCCTATCAGCATCCAATATTTCACCATATATAATGCACAGTCAATCGAAATATGGATTATCTCACACATTATGTGTTGTCAAACAGGATAATACTCTTTTGTTTTCAAAAACAAAAAGTGAAATGAAATAAGGAGTATGTACATAGTGGAAGGAAGATTTTTAATTGTGGACTGAATTGACACCAATGGACAGCTTATTGTAATTGATTGGAATGGTCCTCAATCAATCCACTAGAACCATCAAGTATCAAATGGTTCCCTGTTTTTGGTTACATTTGTTTATCACATACTTGACCAGAATGTGTGTGTGTGTGTGTGAATTTGTTTATGTATTGAAAACAATGTAAAACCTAAAAAATGGAAAACAAGATATAATAAGCCTCTAAATTGGGAAAAAGACCTGGGAGTTGACTAAAGTGAGTCTCTTATTAGCCAGCCGCCTGTCCAGAACGGCACCCTTCCGGCCAACAACCAAAACCAAAACATATACATCCAAAACAAAGATAAGAAACACCTATATCTCATCCACAAGATAACCCCCTCCCCCCCCCTTGACTCCTCAACAACCAACCAAAAAAAAAGAAAGACAACAACGTATCCAATGAGTCCGGACACATATATATAAATAACTATAAGGTTATGTAGATATAAATACCGGTACTGAGACCATACTACTTAAGAATCACAACAACAACACTAGTAAGGATGTAAGGGTTACAGAAACTTTATCAAAGAAACAAAAAAAAAGATGGAGAGATGAATAGACTTATAAATATAAATTTTATGTATATATATATATATAGATATAAATATATATGAAGAAGAGAAGAGGTATTTCCAGGAAGTTCTATCCAAAGAAGAAAAGGAAGAAGAAGATCAAACGTATCCCAAGAAGTCTTCAAGCGGGGGATCCGGAGTGGGAGAAGAGAAGGGGTTATCGAAGTTCAGGTTAGCGAGTGAGTTGGTGTCCAGGTCAGCGAGCCAACGGTGTTCGTGTGTTGCCGTAGATTGTAAAGAGGAGAAGGCGGTTATCGGGTTGGGACTATCGAGTCTGGCAGATCCTTGGTGCTGGTCGATCAGTTTGAGGAGATCATGTCTCAACGGCGAGCAGGGAGAGAAGTCGTTTTGATGTGGTCTGGCCGGTAAAGAGGGTGAGAGGTGGGGCTGCGGGGCGAGCACAAGTGGGCTGCGATTCTCGTCGGCCGGGGCGGGGGCGGAGAGGAGGATGGTCGGGGAGGCGGCCCGGACGAGGAAGGCCTGGGAGAGGTTGCAGCCGGGCTTGAGCATGCTAGTCTGGAGCGCCGTGCCGGACTGGCTGCCGAAGGAGAGCTGCGAGAAGGGGGCAAGACGGTCGGCTGGGTGACGGTGGCCGCGGGCGGCGTTGAGCTCGTCGATGTGGAAGAACGACGACTGTTGGTTCGGCGGGGTCGAGGGCCGGTCGAGCGGCCAGCGGATGCCCATCTCCAGCGCACTCATCCGCCCGATTCGCTCGAGGATCTGCTGGCTGTCGATCGGCGCGGCGATCGAGGCCGAGTGCGGTGCCCGCTTGGTTGCCGGCATCCCGGGCGGCTTCTGTTTGCCCTTGATCGGCGACCAGAACAAGCTCTGTGGATCATTGCCTGCTTGGTCAGTCGAGCTGGAGGAAGGCTGAGCGGATGTCGAGGATTCTTCTTTGGCGAGCTTGGAAAGTGAGCCCATCAAGTCCCGGCCACGGGGCAAATTGGTCCGTCTGTCCCCTTCATCCTCTGAATCATCGTCGGCGGATTCGAGCCATTTTCCGATCCTCCCGGTACGCCAGCAGCTTGTCTGTGGGGAGCTTGGGGGCGAGGATGAAGGTGGATGATTTGCTGAAGGGCGGTAGGGTTTCCGCTGGCTTCTGGCCTTACGAATAGCACGCTGGGCGGCCTCGAGTCCGAGCTTGTTGATCAGTGCGTCTTTCTTCATGATCACTCGGCCGTATTCCTGAGTGGTGGCAGAGACGAGCGGGGAGTGTTGGTTGGTCTCTGAGGATGAGGCCAGCAGAGGATTGGATGAGGAGGATGAGCTGGGGGATAAGAAGAGAGTGGCGGGTGCGATGGTGGTGGGTTGTGGGTAGTGAAGATGTTGGTAATAGTAGTGCGATGGGTCTAGAGTGGGCTGCATGGATGGGAGGACGAGTGAGGCTGAGCCATCAGCTGCGGCCTGGATCTTGATCCGTTTGGAGTAAGGTTGTTCAAGATGATCATGGATGTGATGTTTTGATCGGAGGGTGGAGAGTGTTTGGATGAGCTGGTTCATGGCAGTTTGTTTGTGGGAGGGGTGGCCGCGGGGCTGGTTGAGTAGGTTGTTGAGTGCCCTGTTGAGTTTGTTGGGAGTGATTTGAGTTCTGTAGATAGGAGGATCAGTTTGGTTGTGCTCTTATTATTTATGATGTTTGAGAGAAGATCAGTTTACGCACTCAGTCTTTTTGGTTGTATGAGACTGGCGTGGTGAGGAGAGGATGCTGTCGAGTAGGGTGTTATGTGGTTTGGGTGTTCGAGGTAGTGATGAGGAGGATGAGGATGCTGATGAGGATGAGGATGGATGGGGTGAGGAAGTGAGTCTTGTTGTTGTTGTTCTTCTGTTCTTGGTCGTTGGTTTCATGATGATGGTTTTCCCCTTAAGTCGCTTGCCTATGTAGTGCTCTGTTCGCTGGGCTGGCTGGTCTGCTGAGTCTATGTGTTGATGTGGTCTGGTCCAGTCGAGAGGCTGGGTGTGAGTTGGTAATGAGAGACGTTCAAAGGATATCTCGAATGAATGAAGAAGAAAAGATTCATGAAAGATCGAAGGCAACCAAAATAAAATAAAATAAATGAAGAAGGAGGGAGGGAAGGACCAAGCCAGCCCCGAGGCCAGATTCAGAAGAACCCAGGATTACATAATCATCACTCAGCCCAAACTAAAATCCCATTAAACACATATCCCTTCTTTCCATCCACCACCACCCCTTCATCCATACTATAACTCTCCACAGGGGTCGATTAAAGAGAGACAGAGGGCACAGCTATCTCACATTCGGACCATCTACAACAAAGAATGCAAACTGTCCATCGCGCCCGGGGGATTCTCAACCCTACACAAAGCACAATCGGAACTTACATCCATACATTCCTTAATTCTTCAAGAAATCGACAAAAAAGGCGACGGTCCTGAACACCCAAAACAAGAGGCAGCTCCATACAGCGGGAAGACTATAAAGGACAGGCTTGTTCAAAAAGCAGTTGTTGTCAACTACATGTTTGCCCATCGTTTTCTTTATCACCTTGTTCCAAACTCAGCCAAAGAATCACTCCGTTTCCATTCTTGGGCTGTCAAAAATATGTTCTTCAACAGTTAGACCATGAAGATCTTCAAGTAAGATCATCCAATAACTTCTATCCCCCCCTCAACCACCAATACCCTGGTCAAGAGGGTATTCATAGGACCCAGGGAACACCCTATAGAGGGGCCTAACCAAAAACCATTAAAGGTTTTACCAAAATTCCTAAATTTCTGAAAGCCATTCGTACAAGGGGTGTGTGTGTGTAGAGCACTGTAAATTGCAATCCACCTGATTTTCAAGGAATCTCAAAGTGGCCCTTTGAATTGCCTCTTTTTTGTTTGCTGCCAAAAGTTAGTTTTTTGTTTGTCACTTTTTCTGAGGGTTTTTAATAAACAAGTTCTAATCTATCCACTCAAGTCATGCAGAAAAAATGTACTGGTAAGAATTTGTTACTTATACATCATTCAGACATTCTAGGTTAGTACCCTATGATCAAGAGAAAATGCCCATTCATGCATTGTTGGGGTTTATCATATTGTTGGACTTTTTTGGATAGAAATTCCGGCATTTTGGTTAGGCACCTATAGAGGGGGCTGCCTGGGTCCTGTATTGATTTTAACAATTATATCCTCTTATAACCTACAGGTCGTCCAATGAGCTTATTGGAGTTCAGGTGACCAATCAAATCATTAAAGTATCTATTCAAGTTCTTTTGGGTTCATGATTTATATTCACCCAACATTGGTGATCCAAAAATTTAGGCAAGGAATTGGAGGAATTTGCATTGCTTAAATCACTTGATTCAGAAGGGGTTGATAATCCTGTTTAGAATGTCCTCCTAATCTAACAAATATGGAAAACAGGAACTTGGAAGTGCTCCATTCTAGAAGCAGTTTTAGTGTGTCCAATTTACTTCTTTTTTTTAAATGTATTAAAGCCCCTTGACAGAAAAGACCAAACACCCACCTGCTGAAATTGCATGGAGGGATTCCATTCTTTCTGTCAAGGGGATTTATGTTTCAATTTTGAATAGAAGCAATGTATTTCTTCTATATAGTTGCAGGATCAGATTGGCATCTATTCAGATATGCTTTCACCTTCCCTCATAGATTGCTTGTAGTTTTTAACAATCTGATCACTGTTTTCTTAGGGTGGATTGCAATAATTGAACTGCTTGCAGAATTCAAAAGTCAAAAACATATCTTTATGCCTTTTTAATTGATTTTGATATGCAAGGATGCCAGTATCTACCCCAGTTAATGGTGGAATTCCTCTCTCACAATCTGTGGGTCCCCCAAAACCAACATAGAGCCTCAAAAACCAAATTTATCTGCAAGAATCTACAGCTTTTGGGTCCAGATCGGCTTCTGAAAGGACTCCAGCTCTCACAGGAAGTCCTCCAATGACAGGGTGGTGGCACATTAAGAAAATTTTACTACAATCACTAGACCAAGTCCCAATGAACATGTTCTATGTGATTGAATGCATCTGTTGAAATTGTGAAATATCAGTCAATGACAATGTCAAGTCTTCATTGGAACATTGTCCTAGAGTTGCTAGACTAAGTCTCAACAAACATGCAGTTCTATGTTATTGAGTCGTGAATATGTATGACACAAAAAGTTATTGATTGGTTTGCACAAGTGGGTTCAACTTCAAGTGGAGAGTTTGTGCAGGTTATCAAATCAAGTGATAGCTCAGGCTCAAAGATGCAAAACAAAACATGAACAAGAAAACCTTCCAAACACCCTATCAGGTTTTCTGGATTAACTTATTTTACATGGGTGTGCAATTGTCATGAAGTTCATCCTGGGTAATACCGCGCTGGTTTTTGAAGGATATTGATCGAAGTATGTCAGTTTTGATTTGAGTAAGCTAAATGAAAGAGGATCGATCATCTACTCACTCCAGTTGCTGCAAGATTCTGGCCACAACAGTAGGTATTATCAGGACAGCGCTTAAATTTGGTTGAGTCGTCTCCCGGCGGCCAAACATCGGCATTTCGAACTTTTTCAATCCACCAGGGGAGATCATGATTGGACAGGTCAACTGAAATGAAATTGAGGAGGAAGAGGAAGAAGAAGAAAAGAAACTGTATTTACGAGTATAAGTGGTTTCGGTCTGTTTACCACATTGACCAATGTATCGGGTGAGTAACATTGTCATCGCACACGACAGCTAGTGAATGAGCTAGACAGAGCTGAGAGCAGCAAGCACGAGGTTGGTGAGTGCTTGGTTCGTGGAAGGATGTTCATTGTAAAATGAGAAGGAAAGAAAAGAAAGAAAAGAAGAAAGAAAACAAAAGGAAAAGAAGAGACTACTATAACTGAGAGCAGCAAGCACGAGGTTGGTGAGTGCTTGGTTCGTGGAAGGATGAGGAAAGAAGGACTTCCACGAGTGCTGCCTCAGGTATACTACAAGTGTGTGACATGAGTGGAAACTACATGTGACATGTATAAAGCAGAGAGAAAGAAATGAGATGAGAAGAGACAGTGATCAGCTCAACAGCTAGCTTAACAAATCCCCTTGACAGAGGGCCAGAGGCAACTCGCGAAGCGAGCCTCTGAAAGAGGGGCTTATGAGTCAAGTCAAAATTTCAGCCTGGAAGCTGGTACATTTTGTGGCTTTTTTATGGCATCTTACTCTAAAATGCCCATTACTCCAAGGGTATTCATCCAAAACGGTAGCGGCAAACTGTGTCGGATAGGTGAGCATAAGACCTTGCTTTCCATATATTTTTGTTTTTGTTTTATTGGCTCACACTCATCCATCCTTTGGATAGAAATTTGAGGTCTTCATTTGACCAAGAAATGGGCTTATTGCATGAGAGGTGGTAAAAGGCGTAGTATGCCCATTACAGTTAGCATGTGGCAACTGTTGTTCATTCCACACAGGTGTCTTGAGTTCCACAGAGCTGTACGTTATTGAGCAAAAGTCCATAAGTGTGTACAGGCGCATGAGTACAGAATATATGAGAATTTTGACAAAGGAACCTGAGGACCTTCATCATCCTCATAGCAAAATGACCTTCTTTGAAGGCATGTGGGGCCAAGACTAGATGGCTCCTAGCTTTGGGGCTGAGACAGAAAATTAGAGGCGACGGTGGCCATTTCCCTAGTCCAAACGGATGAACATATTTCCGTCAGGAAGTAGGCGAAATGGTGTGGGCAAGCTTTTTCCCTACTAACCACCCCCCGCTTCCAAGCCACCACCCCGACATTATGTGCAAGTCCCTTCTTCGGAGGCTCGCTTTGCGAGGGGAGCTTGCGCCAGCCTGGTACAGGCCCTCCAATCAAGGGACTTGTTGTTAAGTTAGACACGACAGGAGTCTCTTTTACAGCTACCATCCCGTAAGCCGCAGCAAGGATAGCGAGGGTAGACAATTGCATAGTGCGGTTGGAGATATCGATAAGAGACTTTCGAGGATATATTGGACTGTGAGGTCAAGGGAAGCCGTTCAGGGTGATGGAGGAGGCCACGGAGATGTCCTCTACTTATAAAGGGCACAGCGCAATGAATTCTTGGAGAGATACATAAGCAGCAGATTCAGAGTCGGCAGTCGCATTGCACGCAACATCCATCGTGTGGCTTGCCGCACAGTACTGCTCATCTGTGCCACATCAAAGCCTTTTGGGAACTTTTGCGTACCCTTGGGGGTTGTATGTACATGTTGTGTTTGAATCAAGCCTTATCCTTGGCAAACTGCAAACAACATGGCCGTGGAGGCAAGCAACCTTGGGCACTCATCACATCACACCTGCGCTCACTCTGCACCCCGCAGTCGGGGCTCTGAACGTGTCTCGATGGAGATAGTATGCATGTCGGAAGCCTGCAAAATTAAAGACATTTTGCGCTTGGCAAGGCTATTCGTGATGAAGTTTCGATCTTCCTACCCCAGGTCATTCTAAAGCTCTCTGGGCAGGTGACTATTTATTTACTTCTTCTCCTACCAGGGGAAAGCTGAATCCTATGCCAGCCATTCAACATCAAAACGACTATTTAAATTTATAAATCTTACTGACTACAAGCAAGAATGGAGATCTCCATCTGACTAGAATTTCCTGTTATCAACTCAGTCACAACCTTGGTAAACGGAGAAATTCCAACCAAATGCGGAGATGATTCCGGGTCTTTTGTGATCACTTTTGACACCGTCATAGCAGTATGGGCCAGAGCGGCTACCAAGGCCAAAGGAGATCGTTCTTGTTTGCGTGCACAAGGTAAAGGGCGGATGAGTAAGTTCTTTCTTTTTCTTCATTAGAACTATGAACTGGGCTATGTCTCTATTCACACAAGTTCTAATTAGACTTTCACGTCACAATCTTTTAGTCTCGGAGGCCCCAGGAGCAAGTGGTGAGGTCAACGACTATAACTGTGCTGGTGTCAATGTTTTTGTTGAGGGACACCCAGGTGACTGAAACAGAGAAGGCTATTAAACTCACTGATGATCTTGACAGTGAATAAAATGGTTTGTATTCAATGATCAAGAGAGGAAGAGAGAAGTTCGGACTAGTGCGGAGCTGGTAGAAAAGCAGTAGCGGGGTGCTTGTTAGAAGCATGACTCAATATAAGCATACAGCTCCTATATACAGGCTGTACCATCCCAACAGTTTTTGGAGGAATATTGCAGAGAGTGTATCGCTGCGATGATGGCTCATGGCTTCAAGTGAGTTTCAAAGTCAATACTGCATTGGCTATTCAACAGGTGATGTGATGATGATCTCAAGGATAAGGTCCATTACATCAAGATCGAGCGGATGGACCAAGAATGCTTCAAAGAGGTGGACTAGTTACCAAAACACCCTCCAGAAGGTAGAATACATAATTTTTTGATTTTTCTATATGATACACATTGATGATTCATTGGGAAAAGCTTGGATAGGCTACGCTCATGGGAGCTGTGGTAAGGGAGTCCTTCCAACGAGCTGGTTTAAAATCCATCTCTCCAGGAGGAACCCCTCTCGGCAAGCTGGCATGTAGATGCTTGTCGGGAGGGGTTCCTCCCGACGGTGTGTCCTCTGCCTCTTTAGCCCAAGGGGGGCAGGGGTTTGTTTTCTTTTCTTTTTTTTGCAAAAAAATCCAACTCGCCCGTGTTTGCCCACCAGTAAAAGGGCGGGTATCTGCAGATATCCACGCAGATACCCGCCAGCGCTAGGGGATGCGGATGCCTGATTCTGCTGAAATGTTCAGCGGATATCCGCATCCGTGTGGATATCCGGATTCAAAGTGACCATCTCTAGGAACCAGTGGATTCAACTCAATGTCAACAATTTATTGGATGTCTTAATTATTTAGCCCTTGGGACGCGGGCTGATATTTCTTATGCTATTAATTATTTGGCACAGTACTCTAACCATCCTTGGAAGGCACATTGTTTGATGGGTTGTTGAGTTTCACTTGTGTTTTGTATGCTACACACCTGTTCATCACATGTCACTTCAGTTTCACATGTAGTGTAGAATACCTGGGGCAGCAACTCACTCGTGGAAGGATTCTTTCCTCATCCTTCCACATTTCTCATCTGCTGTCCCAGGTATGAGTTTTCTTTCCTTTCTTTCTCTTTTTCTTCTTTTATGTTCCAGTCTCACTTTTCATTACTGATGCAATGAGATCCTTCCACATTTCTCATCTGCTGTCCCAGTTTGTCTCATCAGGTTATGAGCACCAGTGCTAGCTACCTACGCACTCAATTGGAGAACAACTGAAAGCAAATCTATAACAAGGATCCGTACGCTTGTCGATAAAGCGATTCATACATGAACTCACCCCCATCACCATATCTAAAACCAGAATATTCCGTGTCTACATCACCGATCGCCGACCCTCCGTCACTTCCAGTCGATTCCAAACCAGAACAGTCGGTTTTCTTTCCGTCAATTGTTGAGTTTCACTTGTGTTTTGTATGCTACACACCTGTTCATCACATGTCACTTCAGTTTCACATGTAGTGTAGAATACCTGGGGCAGCAACTCACTCGTGGAAGGATTCTTTCCTCATCCTTCCACATTTCTCATCTGCTGTCCCAGGTATGAGTTTTCTTTCCTTTCTATCTCTTTTTCTTCTTTTATGTTCCAGTCTCACTTTTCATTACTGATGCAATGAGATCCTTCCACATTTCTCATCTGCTGTCCCAGTTTGTCTCATCATGGGTTACTTAAAGCAACTGTTGATCAGGAGCTACTAATTGATTCCGAAAGGTAGTGAGTTACAGATTTGGGTTGATGATGGATGGGGAAGCAAATTTTCGTGTGGTCAACCTCTGGTTTCATGGTCCAAATAGGTGGAGCGGTTTGGTGGCAAGAGCACGACTTGACCAAAGCTTTGGCCAGTTTGTTTGGGCGCATGCGGAGGGCTCGTGGCTGATGCGGAAAGCATGCGGAGCTGACGCTACACACGCAAGCTGAGGAAAGCGGTGGTGCATTAGTGGAAAGTCTAGCTTTCCGAGGCACGGGAAAGCGGGGAAAAGTAGTCCGAATGCGCAAGGTTCCAAAAAGCTTGCTGCGGGGAATCCGGGCACTGGGGTTCACAGCCGACTGCGGAACGGGGTTCAGCGTATACTGCGGAGGGGCTACAAGGAGTGGGGGCACTGAGGGGCGGAAGCGGGGTTCGGAGCAAACCAGAGGCAGAAGCGGCAGTGAGAGACCTGTCCATGAGCGGCCGGAGGAGTAGCTGGACCGACAGGCGTCAGAGGGGTGACGAGCGGAGTCCGAGGGAGTGACAGCGGAGGACATCGTGGGAAGTAGGAGGAAACTCGAGTGTGGGATAATTGGGAAGAGTGGAGTTTGGAGCGGAAGAGAAAGGGAAAGGGGGGGGACTTATGACTCAGAAAATATCAGAAAAACAGAGTGACTTAGGAGTGAATTGTGTATTAGCCTAAAGAATTGTTAGAGATAGAAAAGAGTTAGAGTGTTACCTACCAAAATCAATAAAAGAATAGTTATTTTACCTACCTACAAGACCATCAAGCAAGTTACCCCGGACAACAAACAGGAGTAGGACGTGTTGCGAAGCGGAGAAGTGCAAGAAATCTCCTAGGGTGCGCCTTACTTTCCACAGCGGTGGTGGTGTGGGGATCAAGGCATCAAAAAACTGTGGCAATGTCAACATTTGCAGCAGAATACATTTAAGTGGGTTTGTGGATTGAATTTTTTGTGTTCTGGAAGGGGCTGATTGATAGTTGTTGGAAGAAGGTAGAGGGGGCAGGTCTTTGTGATAATAAGACAGCCATTCTTGTCATGGAGGATATTGTGTCAAGAGGAGGACTGAATTCTCTTGATACACAATTCCTTTACTCAAACGAAATGATTTGGGAGCATGATCTAAAACTAAACTGGGTCAAAACCACAGATCAACTTGCTGATATCTTAAACAAAAGATTGGGACCGGTGAATCAACAAAAGACAATACAGTGTTTCTTTCAATAAATTTTTTCTGCTTTTCTTCTTGAATTTCATTGGGTGGATTGTATCTTTATTTTATCTCTTTTATTTTGTTATTATTATTTGTTTTTTCTGTGTCTTATTGTTTTGTTGTTGGTATGGGGGATGCAAGTTTTGAGGGGGGGGGGTGTTGAGGAGTATGCATGTAGAGAGACAAACCTTGCATAGGAGGTTATAGAATATTCTGGGTTATTACATAGTCAGCATTGGTCATCACATGAAATATATGCTAAGGGTTTTTTCCTCTTTTTCACTCACAAAATCTATGAGTGGTTGCAAATTGTTCCTTGATCAATCAATTGATGATGAAGTTTAGATTCATTCAAAACTGATTGACAACACCAAAGAACCAATTCTTGATTTGGAAGTCTTCAAGTTCCATCCATTCCAAGGAGAAATTTGACCTCAAGTATTTCAATTTGGACACTAAACACTTTAGTGATCTTTAGATTCAGACTCAGATGATCTATTATCTCTCTTTGATCATCCAATTTTAATTTATTGAGGTCCAAAATCACTTGATTTAGAAGGGGTTGCTCAAATATATTTGTTAGTGAAAACTTGTTCTTGAATGGTTTTCACTGGCAAATCCTGTTTAGGATAGGATGTCCTTCCAACCTAACAAAATGGGACAACAGGAACTTAGAAGTGATCCATTCTGGAAGCAGTTCTAGTATGTCAAATTTACTTCTTTTTTTACATGAAGTACAGTCCCTTGACAGAAAAGACCAAGCCCCCACCTGCTGAAATTACATGGAGGGGTTCCATTCTTTCTGTCAAGGGGCTGCATGTTTCAATTTTGAATAGCAGCAATGGAGGACTGAGTTTTGTCAATTAAAACCTTTGGCTTCAAGCCGAAGATAATGGTGTCATTATCATTGGCTTGAAGCCCAAGGCAAGGCTGAGCTGGGTGGGCAAGGCTGAGCTGGGTGGGCTGGGTGTGAGCCGGGTGAGCTGGGTACAAAACTGCAAAAAAAAAGTTTCTGCCCATTTTTTCTAAAAAAAACAGCCCTAACCCCCCTAAACCCTAAACCCTAAAACCCTAACCCCTAAACCTCTAAACCCCTAACCCCCAAACCCCTAACCCCTAACCCTAAACCCCTAACCCTAAACCCCTAACCCTAACCCCTAACACCCTAACCCTAACCCCTAACCCTAACCCCTAACCCTAACCCCTAACCCCCTAACCCTAACCCCTAACCCTAACCCCCTAACCCTA